TTGCTGTACCTGTAACAAGAGCTTGTCTGCACTTGATGATCACCGATGCTTGAGGTTCTCTGATGGTATAAATTCCTATCTCGCAGAAGACTTCGGGTCCTCTTGGCGATATTGCAATTCATTTTGTTGTCAGGGCATCCACCTTTTCATTTTCCCCAGTTTTTGAGCTAAGGAGGAGGGTAACTTTTTACATACCCAGCTTATTGGATTTGTCTTGCGGTTCATAACTATCTTTAATCTGATGATGTTCGCGTACAGTGCCTGTCTTTATATTAACATTGATTTGTTTTACGGCTGGATACAGAAATAAAATTCGCGTCATTATTTTCTGTCGACATAAAAGCTTTAGCGGAAAGACCGCATACGTACGAGTTAGTGCAATTTTTCGGATTCAAGCTCATTAAGGGTAAATTCAAATTCGAATAAAATCATTTATACACTCTTTGTGTGGGTAAGTCGGTGAACTTTCAAAAGAAGAAAAGCCCCAAGTGCAATACAAATTCTTCTTGTCAAGGCGCTTGAATAGATTAAAACCGAACATACGGATCGGTCGTGCAGGTTTAACATAGCGAAGCGCCGTTTTATATTTGTGTTCAGATTTAATTGGTCATATCTCTCAATTGGACGGACTTCGGCTTAGTACCATTTTTGTATGGTTGAAATCAAATACATACTGATCCATCGTTTCTTTTTTCGATAGACGGGTTCTTTCCTAATTTCCTCTCCTTTTTCATGCAAGAGATGTTGATACAACCATGTCTTTGCAGAACAAACCGATTTGTCTTATTCTGCCTAGGTTTTTGGATGGCTATTATATAATCTTATTTAAATTTTTGAGTTGTATATTTACTTATCAATGCTAATACAGTTTTTTCGTGGGCCATTTTCATTTCTTCCGTGTACTATGTATTATTCTTGCGAAGGACATCGTCTTCCCGGACGTCTTCCCATCCAATAACAATTTGTCTGAACTAAAAAATACCATGAGTACATTTTCAAAAGTTCACTTTTGATTATTTAGTCAAAGGGCGATTTCAGTTACATTCAGTGACAACGATATTGAACTTTGTGAGTTCAGAGTCCCAGAAAAGCAACATTTGCCTTCTTCGTTCACTTTCAGATTAAAAATTAATAATTAGATTTTACCCATTCGAAAGTGTATTAAAGTTGAAGAAAAATTCTATTAATTCTATTAGACTCTGGATAGCACCACTGATTATTTATTATGTGCTTTTTTGAACCTATATTTGAGTCGTTCTTTGTAAAAACCATAGTTTCTATCGCACGTGAATGTTACCCATTAAACAGCGAAGTACGTCTTTTATTTTTTATTGAGTGTAATTTCACCTTTTTCTCAGTCCAATAATATATGGCATATTTAGAATAAAACTACGTTTATAGTGTTAATTTATTTTATTTTAACATAAATTCAAAACCAACCGTAACAAAATTAAAAAATTATTGTATTTTCCGAAGCAATTTTGTTAATTTTTTGGTTGAAAAAGTGTGCTTTAATGATATAACGTTGTATATAATATAAAGCCCTCTTATGCTCCCTCACAATATCTGATATTTTCTGGCAAGAATCTCATTGATTCAGTCTTTAAAGTACGCTGTTGAATAGGATCACAAGTTGTTAAAAGGGAGGCACTGGTCATGTTCGATCTAGTGTCGTATGAACATTCAACATTGTTGATCGAGTGATCACATTTTAATTCGTTAATTAAAATTTCAAAGCCTTGATAAATGGGATCTATTCCTCGAAAATTCGACGAAGGAACGAAGTGTTTTCTTTCTAATTGGCCCTGATGGTTTTCAATATATCATTATAATTGAAGGCTGATTGCTAATTATAACGGTGATATGATAGCATAGGTTCATTTAATTACTTTTGGGAAAATAATTGGTAAAGCTTTAATCACAAAAGGCTCATAGTTCAAGCTGTTTTTTCCCCTTGTACGTGATATTGACCCTGGTCCAAGATCTTAACCTAAACCACAAATACACAAACTACAGTCATGTGTGCTATCACGAATTGTGCAATTTAGCCAATTGCAGAATTGTGAAGTTTTCACGCAACTCAGACCGATATGTCTGTGAATATACATTGAATTAAACTTGCACCCTATTTAAATTTGTTTTTATATCCCTTAAAATGATTAGTTAGATACATTTATAAAATATTTTCACACCCAATTTTGAAACTTGTATTCTTATATTTGTGGAAATAGATTTGATTGTATAAAATGTTATTATGTTGAAATTGGCGTTTTCCAATGAGGCAAATATTGAAATGAAAAAAAATTTTTTTAGAATGTTGGGCTTCTATTAGTAAAGCAATGTAATGACATTAAACGGTCGATCGATATTTTATTCTCAATGCGTATTCGTCGTTAAGAAGAGTTCTTTTATACGTATATTTTACATTTAATATATGTAGTTCGCGATGTATAATCCATTATATTACAACTTTATGAAAGAGTGTTCTAGAGTGTTTATTAAACGTTACTTTTCAATACGTATTGTATGAGAACATTGCCGAGTTTCTTAATGAGAAAAACAGGAATAAGTTTTGCACATTGCATATCGAATATCCCTTTGATATGTAACAATAGAGAAGAAAAGGCTCGTGTTTCAAGAAAGGTCAACGCTTTTAGAGAGCACGGCACGTGTGGTGTAACCCGGGGCGGTTGATGCTCGGGTCGGAAAAATTGTCAGATTAATTCCAATTCTCTTGGGGTGACAAAAGGAAAAGTTTCGAGTGTTCGAGTGACTAGATACTGTCATCTACGGGGGGCAGATCACTCTGTCCCATTCAAACGAGGTGGTCCGAACATGTTCCGGTTCATCACCCACCTCGACACGATTTGTTCGAAACACATATATTTGTCAGAGATGTTCCAGTTTAAAATAAAAACGTCCCATTTCTTCTTTTGTTTTTCTTTTTTCATAGCTTCGCCGAATGCAACAAAAGGGTGTTGAATTATATGCCATATAAGCAGCCACTCCATAATAGTAACTGTGTGGTGTTTAGTGACCGTTACTTGATGATTATTTGGAGGTCATGAGATGCGGTCTGGTGTGACGTAGGTTTTAGAAAAACATTTTCTTTATCGTGCCAACGTTTCGATCTTTATTGAGATCATCTCCAGGGCTCAAAGTGTTTGTTTTCCGTGTAGATGTGTCATTCTTGTTTGTCGTGTTGAGAATGCCCAAACTCAACTCACACACTCTCCCCACGAGAAAACAAACACTTTGAGCCCTGAAGATGATCTCAATAAAGATCGAAACGTTGGCAGGATAAAGAAAATATTTTTCTAAAACCTACATCACACCAGACGCATCTCAAGACCTCCAAATAATCAATAGTAACTATGCTGGAAAAATGCATAAGACATTTCTATTAACAAAAATCTTACGAATTATTCAATAATCTGCAGTGCACAAAAGTTTAATAAAGCTCGAATGTTGGAATGTACGGAAAATTTATTTTCGAGGGCCCCTTACGTTTTCCCGAACATCGCCCTTTGATGTTTTTGACAAATCTTCATTATAGATCAAGGTTCAATAAAAACAAAAAAATTGTGCCGAGTATGATCTGTGTCGTTAGCAAGATATTAAAAAAATACGTTTTAATGCTCAACATACTAAAGCCACCAGGAGCTCATTCATTAAAATAGATATTATTCTAAAGACGTTTTTTCATATCAAAGAGACGTCAGGAGACCTAAGCTTCATGTCGCCTGGTAACCGAATATGTAGTTGGTGTTGCATGTCTCTTCACTTTGCAGGTTTGTTTACAGTCTGACCATCATGGATAAGACTCAAACAACCAAGTGATTCTTCTTCCATATAAACAGCCACTCCATAATAGTAACTATGCTATGAAATAATCGCAATGAAAGCTTCTTTAAAGTGGTTATGAACCCTCGTTCGCGACAGCCAACGGGTACTTGGAAATAAGCTCTCTTGTACAGCCTGACAGTACATTACTTTACGTAACTTAATCTCGCTGTCCAAAAATATCAACAGTTTGCCTTTTCACTCGCTGCCACTGGGCTATTAGTGAAACTTATGAACCCTTCAAGGTGATTTGTTGAAAGTAACGATTTTCGTTTTGTAATATGGCCGGACACGGGGTATTTCAAATATGGTCTATGAGTGTTTTGAGTTCATTCAAAAAGGATGAAAGAACAAAGCAGAAAGTACTCTTAATTACATAACAGTTCTTCAGAGTATGAAAACCGAACAGGATGACATTAAAACCTGTCGACTAATGTCTACTCTGTGAGAAAAATCTATGGTGTATTTTATCACTGATCTTAACCGTTCATCCTCCGAGTTGTGCTCCAGGGGATACAGCTAGGTCATTTCAGACCCCCATCGTAATCAGTTCCTAAATTCATTCACATTCTCACTCTTAAATGCATTCTTTCTTCTTTACTCACAATTCACTCATTAGGATGGTTGAGTAGTCGATCTTCATGACCCTTTTCACCTACTACATGACTAGCCTAATTGAGGGTCGATGGGGTACTCGATGCTCCGCCATTAACCGTCTCTCACTACACATTCGCTCTACTAAGTACATTAATTCTCAATACACTATTGGATACAAACCTATGAGTATTATATACAAAAAACAACTCTGTTTCTTCCAAGAATGGGAACAGGGAACCCAGATACTGCTGGGTGCTCAACCATACCCCAGAATCTGTTTTTAGTTTTTACAACTAAAGTTTTTCTTATATGTGCATGTCGCAGACCGTGGTGATTACTGAAATTTCGTATCGGTAGAAGGTCGAGAGTTTGACTTTAGCCCTCTAATTATTTTAAAATTTTAAAATTATAAAGTAGCTGCTTTACAAAATAAAGGCAAGAACAAAACCGGCTTGCAAAGTGCAAACTTGTAGTGTAACAAGTAGCTAGTACCGCTCTCTGAAAAATGTCCATGTTTATAACCTGCCCTCTTTTTACCTTCTGTATCTTTTAAATAATTTAATGCTTTAGTAATTTTTAGTAATAAAGTGTAATTTTTACCAACGTTAAAAAATTTTAAAAAATAAAAAACCTGTAAAAATCAAATTTACGCAATAAAGTACGTGAGAGGAAAATGAATATTACTCGTAGGTAATAATAGGGGAATCAAACTCGTGATATTCAAACTGCTTAGTATCTAGCAACTAGTATTTCTCAGCACAGCGAAGCATGAATCTTAGACATTCCACTCCTTTTAATCCAAATCAAACAATATAATAAACATGTATTGTAAGATAAAGCATAAACGCTATAAACAAAAGTATTTGCGGCTTGAACCTTACACATTAAGTAATTAATATTTTGCACAAACTATGTCTAACTCACAGCTTGACATGCTTGCAGATTTATAGATCTTTCAATTAAATCACTGACAACTAATACCTACAGGCATTACAATGTAATATACGTTGTTCAGCCGGGTGTAGTTAAACAATTTTGCCTTTTTTTATGAAATTGCATCTATATACACATTCAGCATCCGACAAATTCTCTTTTTCATGGTTTTTCTTTTAATTGTAGTATGCAAGTGAAAATAGTTCTTTGTAGTCTAGTTTTGTTTTCGGCTGCTCCAATAATGTTTGGTTTTATTTAAATTAATCAAACTTATTTTTCTTAGAAATAATTAAGGTGGGGGTGAGTGTGTCAATTCACTATTGGTAAAGGATGGTTCTAACTCCAGAAATGTTGTTAGCAATTATCCGGATTTTGAGCATTAAATGCTCATCAACAGGTCCGAAAATTACAAGTTGTTAGGATCGTTGCTAACAACTATTTTATGGTTAGAGACTTACTTTACCAAAAATGCTTATTTTTCTTTATTCCTTTTGTTATAAATATATTAATAAGGCTAGTAAGAAAAATAAGGCTGATTGATTCAAATAAAACCCTATATAATACAATATTCTATTTCTTATTGCAAAAGTACAAAACAAGACATTTAGTTAGCAAAGTATTATTCTTCATTGTCACCTTAGTTAATATTATAAGATTTCTTGTTGGTATAATAAACCTCCATTTTGTCTTTTTTTTTCTCATTTTAGCCTGATAGATTATCAGAAAAAAACAAACCAAAAGTTTGTCTATAGTGTGTTTTGTTTTAAATTAGTAACACCATAGTTCAAAATATGTTGATGGTGGAATATGGGAAAGTTTTATGACCCCAAGCACTCCAGCCTTATGCCTTATTGTACGTTTATTTGTTCGGTTTAATTGGCTCAATCCTTTTCTTTAGAAGTATAATGACATTCACTGTCGTTTCTCTGGTGTTCTTCATATCCCAGGTTTTGTCTCCGTTGAGCAGTTGCTTTGTTTGTCAGTTGTTTCACATTCCAAGATGATATGGGTGACTGTTTATTTCTCATTGCATAATCTACATATAAGATCATTATTGAATATATCCATGTTATGTAGATGTTTTCTCATATGCCAGTGACCATTATATTAGTCCTATCACTCCTCTGATTTTAGCTCTCTCCAACTGTAGCATTAAGTTTGCCAATTTTGATGAGAGTTCTTTTCATATCAGCTTACTATGTCTATCAGAGAGTTTATCTACTTCTCCTTTTGTTTCTTTCATATACATTCTGAGATGGAAGAATCTATGTTTGTTATTATTCCCATGAATAGGTTCAGGGCCTATGTATGGTCTTGCAGATCTTCCTCTGGCCAGTTTGTCTGCCTTTTTGTTATCCAAAATTCCTTTGTGCCCTGGTACCAAGAGATTTTGGATACATTTACTGGCTAATTTTGATGTGATTTTCTACATGTTAATGCTTTAATGTCTGCTTGACTATCCGATCTTATGAGGATTTTTTTTGTTGTTAAAGTAACCTCTTTTAATTTTTTCTAAGACACAAGCATTGATGGCAAGTATTTCAGCTTGAAAGACCAAGGTGTACTTCCCTAATGAGTTTGATTGCTCATGTTTTGGGCTTGTACAGAAAATGCCTGAACTGGTTCTTTTATTTGTTTTTAAGCCATCTGTATACCATACCATTGTATTGATTTCCTCCTTAATTCTTCTTCTCCTTTGTAGTCTAAAGAGACTACATAGGATGTTTCAAAGTGTGTAATAAGAGTGTAGATCATGTAGTCAGTACTCATTTCTAAGAATGGATGTCTGATTTTATTAATTATTGTTATGTGCCCGAAATGTTTAATATTCATCTAATTTGAGTGTTTTGGAGCCTGCATGACACTCCTCTTTGTGTAATTATTTTCAATGGAGGGTAGGTTGTGGTGGGTTGTTTTCATTACCCCTGTGAAACATAAGTTCATCAATCTGTTTGATGTTTAAGTAGCTTGTTTTGGTTGAGCCACCTGATTAGTGAGCTATAAGATAATTTGGGCCTATTACTCAAAGTGTGTTAAATATTATTAACTTAGTTATTGGTTGCGTTGTTTTTTGTTTTTAAATTAATTCTGCTTTGTCATGAGTGATTTTGATGTAGAAGTCTGTAGTCAGTAGATGGAGAAATCTGGTTGATTGATTGTTGTTTAACTTAACAAGAATCTTATGAGATTGGGGTCTGAAGGTTCATGAACTTGTAGTTTGATTTTTTCTGACCATAATGATCTGGCTTTACTTACTGGTCTGTCAATTGCTTTTCATCTAATATTAAGTCTTTGTGACATCAAAAATTGTCTAAAATGACCAAATTATCAAGAATCTATCTAAATTTATATATTAAGTGTCTTTATTTCTGTCAGCTCAAAGAATAGACATTTGAGAATGTATCTGTGTTAGACAAATGCACGGGCACAAGCTGATCAAAATTATAAACATAAAATATTTCCTAAACGAAGAAATTACTGCTCATGGTCATATTTTAACATTTTTATTTGAATTGTGTAGTACATATTGAATTATTAGTTTATTTGTTTTTGTTTGATTTATGATCAATTGTTTTAAAGAATTTTATTATATGATGTCACGTTCTTCTTATAAATACTATATTCTAACATCAGTTAAATTTCCTTTGAAATATATTGTGAAATATATTTTTGATTTGGGGGAAAGCTAGAACCAATTATAATTTTTATTCAACTTTGCCCAATCTGAGCATTTATATTTCCAAAAAATATGAAATTTTACAGTTATTTTAATTTACAAAATAGCAATTTGTAAAAAAAAAATTACTTTCCCTTGTCTGTTTTTAATACAATAAATGATATTCTGCAATAACATAATTAACAAACATACCCAATTTTTTAGATGAACTGTAAAATCTAATGGAAGAGTGGATCACAGCACTGAAAGAGACCATATCAACACGTGAACGTCTTTGGGTAAAAATATTAAATTTATTTACTAATTTGTGTTAATAATATACAAAAATATTTTGTTAAACGTGATACCTAATCTAGTTAGTAATTAAAGTAAGTTATTGTGGTTGTAAAGTCAAATTTTAACCATGGATTTTTGGTTAAAATATAACCTTCATTACCAGGAATTTTTTATTTTGAATTTTGCATTTTTTTAGTCTGGGACTGCTACTGAGCTTCATGACCTTCTAAGTGGACGCCATCGTTGGCAAGCTACATCTCACGCTAGACCTACATACTGCAATATATGCAAGGATACATTATCTGGTTAGTTTTAATGTAATTTACCGCCTGTACAACAATGTTTCTTCTTGTCACATATAATTATTTTTTCAAAGGAGTGACTTCCCATGGATTAAGTTGTGAAATATGTAAATGGAAAGTTCACAAGAGATGCGCTTCCAAGGTTATCAACAACTGCAAATGGACAACCTTAGCAAGCGTTGGAAAAGAAATTATCGAAGACAAAGATGGAGTATGGATTTAAAAAAATATATATATAAAAGGAGAGTTTCTAAACCTTAAATTTAAAAATACAATTTTCCAGAACATTTATATGCCACATCAATGGATGGAAGGGAATCTTCCCGTGGCATCAAAATGTGCAGTATGTGAAAAAACATGTGGATCAGTTCTAAGACTATTAGATTGGCGGTGCCTTTGGTGTAAATCTACAGTACATACAGCCTGTAGGCCAAATTTTCCAGTTCAATGTAATTTGGGACCAAGTAAAGTTAGTGTTGTACCTCCTACTGCTTTACATTCTGTGGGTAAGATTAATTTTGAGTATAAGTTATGAGTTTTGATTACTGCAAATTCTTACAATTAGGTTCTGACGATGCCTGGGAGGCTGTTAGACCTCAGGGGTGTTCCCCTTTATTAGTTTTTGTAAATTCAAAATCTGGAGACAATCAAGGTGTAAAATTTCTAAAAAGGTTTAAGCAATTACTAAACCCAGCACAGGTATTTGACTTAATGGCTTCGGGACCACAATTAGGGTAAGTAATTCAACAAAATAATAAATAGTGTAGTCAGGGTAATCTAGAGTTTGACATTTTCAATAAAAATATTCAGTTTTCACAGAGCTTTCTAAAAAATAGTTACAATTGCTTCAAAGGTGTACATGATACCTGTACATTCTTGAGATAACTCAACTTGCCTTGTATTGATTACCATAACTGCACATGTTATGAGAAAACTTAGAAAATTTTCTTGCATTTTTTTAGAAAATTTTCTTGTAAAGCAATTTGCATTTTTTTTAGATTACAGCTCTTTAAAAGATTTGACCCATTTAGAGTATTGGTTTGTAGTGGAGATGGTTCTGTTGGATGGGTCTTATCTGAGATAGATAAGCTTAATATTACAGTAAGTAGACTTTAGTTTAGTCACTTTAGTTTCACAGAAAATAAAAGCATGTGTAAGAAATAACAACCGTTTAATAATTTGAATCCTAAAATGAAAAGAATAAGATTGTATGCTAGACTCAAAAATGCTAAAGTCATTTTTGAAATTATAAACAAACTTTGGATATTATCTTCAATAAAATATATTATTAATTCAAATAATAATTCAATCATTTAGTATTAAAATTCGAAAATTATTCAAGCATTCTTTCAGTCTAATTTTCAATCATTATTTTTTTTATTTGAGGTGTCACAATAGGCTTTACCAGAAAAACTTTCTCAAGTTAAAAATTCTAAAATAGTTTTTGTTCATAAAACCCTCCAATTCAATTGCTTTAATCCTGATTGAATTTTTATATTAAAATATTTAATTTTTACTCAAAATGTTTCAACCATCTATTGTCACAAATAATAATTTGCAAGTTATATGCAATTTATTTTTAGAAACAATGCCAAGTTGGCGTTCTTCCTTTGGGTACAGGAAATGATCTGGCCAGAGTATTGGGATGGGGAGCATCATGTGATGATGACACAAATTTGGCACATATATTAGATAAATACGAAAAGGCTACTACAAAAATTTTAGACCGGTATGTCATTTGTATAGAATTATCTTTGATATGATCTTTACTGTGATATGTTTTAGTTGGAGCATTATGACCTTTGAGAGATCGATTTCAGTTTCCAATGAAGAAAGGATTCATCTGGACTCCACTCTTCCTGCAATGGCCGACTACGAGAATTCGGTAGTGTCTCATTTGAGTAACATTCTTGAGTCTGAAGACCATTCTTCAATTCTTTCTTCAGCTAAGTCAGTAGAATTTTTTCATAATTTATTATTGATAATATAATAAAATTTTATTTAATTGATTTAATATTTTTAGGGTATTATGTGAAACTGTTAAAGATTTTATCATGAGAGCCGGTGAAATTTCTCTAAGTCAAGGTGATGATGAATTAAACTTGAAATGCACTGTTTTAAGAGAAAAGCTCGATCAAATGCTTAACTCTTTGTTAGAGGAAGGACTTGAATTGGTAAGTAATTTTTGGAAGCTATATTCTAATTAATGTGGTCAAATTAATTATTGTATTTATTTTTACAAATTAATATTATTTTTATAATATAATTATATTTATAACCAATAAGTTTTGGTTTGAATGTATTTTCTTATACTGTTAATGATTTTTATTCCTTCCTAATATGTGTTAATCTTTTGGTGCCCTCTCTCAGTAATCTACACTAATCATTTCAGAGGGTATTCGGATTACTGAAAAATTCAGATCACAGAGGTTGTTAAAAAATACATGCATATGTACAAAAAAAATTTAACACAATTTTGTGAATTTTTCTTAAAAATATCAGTTTAAAAAAATATATTTAACATTTTCTTTGTTGTTTCTCCTCTTTTTCACTTATTTTTAAGCAGTAGATACATTATTCTTAACACAAGAAACAACTTTCTCTCTCTCTCTCTCTCTCTATCTCTCTCTCTCTCTCTCTCTCTCTCTCTCTCTCTCACACACACACACACACACACACACACACACACACACACACATGCACGCACGCGCGCGCACACACACACACACACACACACACACACACACACACACACACACACACACACACACACACACACACACACACACACATGCACATTCTTCTTGTTTCCTCCTCTCTCCCTCCATTATCTTCAGAGTACCAAAGTTTGGATGAGAGAGAGAGAGAGAGAGAGTGAGAGAGACCGAGAGAGAGAGCACTGTATTTTTCTTGTGTTCATCTTTAATTAGTTAAAAAAGTTTAATTAATTTTAGGACGAAGAAAAACTTGAAAAATACACAACAGAAAAAGCAGAAAAGGATAATGAAATCATGGAAGAAAGAGGAAGATCAAAAGTAAAAATTGTTTTTAATTATATTAATTTGTTGTCTTTAACGAGTAAATTTTAGCTTCCGACACAGGAGCATTTGAAAATGAGAGCTAACAGCTTAAAACGTGCGGTCAGACAGTTGATTGAACATTCTGAGAGGATAGTAGATGAGCAGAACATGGCCCGATCAAGTGGTAACCACCAGGACTCTTTAATAAGAGAGAAAAGTGAAAATACTCTCCTTGAACCGGTAAAATTTCCCAAAGAAGATTTCAGATTGTTTTATAATGTTGCTCGGTCTTTTAGATTGGAAGGACTGAATTTTTGAGCATATCACCTTTACCGACTATAAGAAGGGATTCCAATTGTTCGACGAGTGATATCACACTTGAAAATTTGCCAGTACCCACAGAATTTGCTGATTCGCGGAGACCTAGTGCTTCCAGGATAAGTTCCCCGTAAGTTGTATCAATCATTGCTAATTTATAGCTCTGTTGAACACTGAACATGTTTTTAACATTCTTAACTTTTTCATAGATATACATCATACATCATCCATTCAGCTTCTGGTCATTTTTTTGCAGAATGGTAAAACAATAAGAGCTTTTCTTTATAGTTGTGGTACACCCTTGTTATATGTAACAACAGTGTATCAAAGTTACTTGCATATCAATAGAATATGTTAATTAGTACATTCAATTGAAAATATATTAAAGTAAATATGTGTATATCTTTTTTTTTTAAATCTAGCAATAAATGTAAATTGTATATGAATGTTAATTTCAATTGAAGATTATAGCCTGTGGGCTATTTTTCCATTTTAAAATTCCCCTGCCTTGCACTGATGATATAATAGCATGAAGAAACACTTCCATCTGCAATTCCAAGTGCATTTCTGCCATTTAAGATTGTTTTACCCTCAGCACTGATGTTTATCAATTTTGTGATCCCATGTGAAATTGTGACAAAAGTATTTATTTTTATATGTTCTGTTAATATACCATTTTTTGTTCATCTGGGATAGATATGAATATTTGACAATTTTTTAATACACTTAGATATTTATTCATGAAAACCATTTCAGGGTGGTGCCAGATGCTTACGACAGTTCAGAAAGAATTCAAGTAGTTGTCAACATCGAGCAACAGAAAGACCCTGATCCAGAAGAGGCGGTGACTCGAGTTGCTGAAATAGATGAAAGCAATCAAGATAATGAGAACGAAGGTATATTATCTGGATTAAAGTTAGCCGAAGAACTGGCCAATATTTGTCATATCGATTCTTCTGAAACCTCGGATGAAAGCCCTGAAGGAACAAATGAACTTCAAAACAAAGACACAAGAGGTTTCAGTATTAACTCTAAAAACTCTCTTAAAAAAAAACATCAGAGTATTCAGTTTAAATCTGGTTCGTATGAAACTGTTGATGCTACTAACTTGATATCTACAAGTCCTGATGAAGAGGACGATTATGATGATTTTAATAGAGAACTTGGTATAGATAATACAAAAAAGTGTAGTATAGCTCATTTCATTGAGGGTAATGATATAGCACGTAGATCCATCAAGTGTAGGCATAAGAAACTGCAATCACTAGATGATCTCGAACTTTGTGAGTCATCAAAACCTGATTCTGACATATATTTACAAATACCAACAATTCAAATTTCACATTCAGATAATGATTCATCACAACAAGAGAAGTTAAAAGGCAAAGAAGATAAACCGTCAACTTTTCTGGATGTCGTCCAGTTTCAAATACAAGGTTCAAATACGAATCTAAGAGGGAGTACTGATGGAATGTATTTAACCGATTTTCAAGAATCACACAGAAAAAGTCTGGCTCTTTCTGAGACTGACGATGAAGAACTAGTCAGGTAGGAACCCATCATTTGGCACTTACGTTTTACAGCTGAGAATCTGTATAATTAATACATACATATAATATACCAGGTAACCAGAAAAGTTAGGCAGTTTTTCATTTGTTATTGTTTTAATACCGTTAATTAACATTTCTATTTGCAAAGGAGGGTAAGTTGTTTATATCACGTAATAATGTCAGTAAAGAAAAATTGTCTCAAGCAGCTTACTGTAAATTATAAAATATTTTCTTTGTCATTGGCTTCAAAATTAATTTGTACATGTGTATTGTATGAATTTAAGCTCAGTACTAGAGCGGCCAAGGCAGCTCTTGAAATTTGCACTGATTCGGTGACGAAACAATAAATGATGGCACTGCTCAAAAGTGGTACAAAAAGTTTGCTTTTGAGAATGAGGGGATTGAAAATGAACCACAGCCTGGTAGACCTCGAACAACGATGAATTGAGGAAAACTAACTTCATTCAAACATGTCAGGTGCGTGCAGGAGTGTTCAACGTAAGTGAAGAAACCATTTGCTCTATTTTAAATCAACTTGGAAAGAGATATAAACTGAGAAAATTCACAAATTGACCGACGATAGTAAGCTTCAGTGTCTAAATGTTTGCCTTTCATTGCTTTCAAGGCACAAAGTAGAAATGTTTTTAGGCTGGATTATCACACGTGATGAAAAATGGATCCTCTAAAGGCACCACCAGGAGGTACTTTCACAAAATTACCCTGTCCCATTGTTGCTAAAACCAATTATTCACCACCAAAAGGATATGCTTCGTGGAATACGGTGGCAATCTACACTATGAACTCCTGCCATGTAGCCAGACTAACATCACAGAAATCTACTCAAGCCAACTGCAACAAGTATCTCTTGCCCTGGCCCTCATAAACAGAAAAGGTTTAATTTTTCACCAGAACAGTTCAAGACCTCATACAGCCAGAATAACAAAGGAGGTGATAATGAAGCTTGGTTGGGAAGTGCTGTTACACTCTCTGGACTCTCCAGTCTAACCCCATCTGACAAATATTTTCTTAACAATGGACAATCATATGAGCAATTGGAATTCGATAATCACCGATAGCTGGAAAATGAACGAATTTACTTTTTTAAGTCCCTGGGACCAAAGCTGTTCAAGAAAGACATAGTTTCTTGGGAAAAAGTTATAGATGCCCACAGAGAACAATCCCCCCCCCCCAAAAAAAAATCTAAACTAATTTTAATTGTGACAATTATTAAACCCAAATGAACTTTTCTGGTCACCTGGTAAATAACTATGAAAAACAGTACGTTGGCTCCTAGCTTGAACAATGTATATATACACCTCAGATTCTGTTCTATCTTTATTTTCTTAATAAGTTTCTCTCGTTTTGTTAATAAAAAGACAATTTTATATAGAACTTGGCAAAACGACTTCCATATCCTTTTCTGTTCTAAGTTTTCAACTCTGAATCTGTGAAAAAATTTAAATTTGTTACTGAGTAAAATGCAAACGGAGACTTCGAGAGAAAGATTAATTAATTAAAAGAAGTAATTTGGTCAATTAGATCACTAAAACAGAATGGATGTAAAAGAAGTCTTTCACTTGCATTGGATGTGCTTGGTACATTTTTTCAGTTTCTCTTCTTCATACTTTACTACTGAAATTTCTTATAATGTCAGATCTAACATTCTCAGTCTCTTCTTGCAACACTGATTTTTTTAAATTTTAAACTACTTGAAGTAAGCTATCCTTTTTAATGTGGCCTGTAATTCCATTGCCCCATTCTTGAGCTTTTGCTTAACTTCACTTTATTTCTGGTGAATGTAACAGAAAATAGTCAGCTTCGTTTTGGTTATTTATTGATAATCTCTATGAATCACGCCCCAATTTATTTTTTCCTACACTGTTTCTTACTTGAACAGTTGATGAAACCCAAGAAGAGTTGTAATTGTGTGACAATTATTTAATTTATTTTTATTTGTAGTTGCTCTATTTGGTTTCCTGTCTTGTTTTCTGTTTTTAATTGTTTTACCATTTTATTTTACCTACCTTTGTTACTAATTAGTTTGTTACTTTGTGAATATATTAATTTACATAATTTAGCTCACTATTTATAAATAGTTTTATATTGGTACTTACAAGAGTGTTAATATTATTAATAATGATGTAATAATCTTGAATGAAAATATATTTTCTTTGAATCAAGAGCAATATAATTGAATAATTACACTATTTAATTATAGATTTCATCGTTTTGCTAGTAGAGGTTCAGTTCAAAGCCAAATTCAACCACCACAAGTAATAGTAGATCCTCCATCACCAACAGGCGAAGATACACCAACTAGACGGTTTAGCTATGACTGTTGTAGGAAGTGTAAGTTATTAATAAAACTTCGATTTTGCTTTTTTGCTGTTCTTAATTGCTTTCTTCGTTAGTGTCAGCAGCGTCACCTTGCTCTTTAATGAAGCCAGATTCTCCTGATACCGGAAAAGCAGTACCAGAAAAACGATTGCCTATTATTAATCCTCTTGTGAGACTGCCTACATGGCCTAGTAAGATATTAGTTATACAATTAGCATTCTAGTTTTTGAAATGATTAATTTTATTTAATTTATTTAGATATCTCAGGTTCAGGAATTGTTGGTAAAGTTTTGTTAGCTAATGCAGATGCATTATGTGCTGCTGCTGTACCTCTGATGGATCCACTCGAAACACTTTCGTAAATGTTAAAAATAAATTTTTTCTAACGATTCAAAAAACTACTTAAACAACCTTTTTTTAAGGGAGGGGTTCAGAGAAAAATGTGTTATGAATAATTATTTTGGGATTGGGATCGATGCAAAGATAAGTTTGGATTTTCATCAGAAGCGAGAAGAACACCCTGAAAAATGTAGGTCAAGAGCTAAAAACTACATGTGGTATGGAGTCTTAGGGAGTAAAGAATGGCTTCAGGTTTAATTTTTTTTTTATATTAGCAATTTATGGACAAAATTATAGGTTAATTTTAATTTCCACAGAAAACTTACAAGAATCTTGAGCAACGAGTTCAATTGGAATGTGACGGCCAGAGAATTCCGCTTCCATCGCTCCAGGGCATTGTAATTCTTAACATACCAAGGTAATACATAATATTTGTCTATATGCCTATTGGACGTACAAATACATATGTATGTACTTAAAAAAAATTTCACACATGCACATACACAAATTTGAAATTTTGGTGGTTTATTTACATATTTAAATAATTTAATTTTATCATACAAATTATTTACATTCTGAAGTTCACTTGATTCCCACCTTTTTTAGAAATAGACCCAGATATACATACATGATGTTTTTATTTTGAGTTTAACTTCTGATTAAATATCAATTTAATTTTTTTTTCTTGTATCTCATGAACCAAAATGTTTTGACGTAACTCTCTAGAAAACAGGATACGGTTAGGAACCTTACTATTTCAAAAACAAAATCTTTTTTAGCAAGTAGTCCAGACATCCACTTTTGAACTTACAACTAAGTAAAAAACCGTCAAACTAAAGATGGTCTATATTAGACCAAAACAAGCCTGAGAAAATAAACGCCTATTTTGGAAAAGACAATTTACTTCCTACCCATCAACTTATTATGGAGTTCCACAAAATCAGGATGGACACTAAAAAAATAGTTACCCCTTTTCTTAAAAACCATCACACTAAAGTTGAGTTTTTACATTCTTTCACTTTCCGTGCAAATCGTAACAATTTCTTGTACATTTCAAGAAAAACTGAAGATGTTCTGCGGTTGGAAAAAATGCTATATCCCCAGTGTCCTGTTATTATTAGTTAACAGTCAAGTTATTATTTGAGGGAATTGTTAACAAAATTTTTCTTTCTGAACCACAAGCAAATAATTTGCTATCAACTAAAATGAAAAATACATAAATTGGTGATTGGTTGAAGAAGTTGGAAAATATTAATTTATTCAAAAAATGAACCCTTGGGGTGCCAGTGTTTTTAGAAAACAGCCTACTTTTAAGTACGTCAGGTTGCAAATAACTTGAGAACAATTGCTCCAAATTAAAAGCTTGGCACTATTGAATTCAGCTTCAAAAAACGCTTTTAAAAATATCTATTGGTTAGTATCTTTGAACTAGTTCCTATCCTCCATATCCCGTTATCCTGGAGAAGTAGATCAAAATTTTTTGCTTCAGGAGAAACTAGACAAAAATAAAAAATTATGTATCTCACATTTATCACAAGAATGCCTCAATAAAAGAAATATATTGAGGAGAGGCAGAAGTTAAACTCTCACTGTATATGAAAACCAGTTGTTTAGTAATTGTATGTAGAAGATGCAGGCTGATTAAATGATTAAAACAATTTTTTAGCTTCATGGGAGGTACAAATTTTTGGGGAGGAACTAAAGAAGGTGAAGTATTTCTTGCGCCAAGCGTAGATGACCAAATTCTAGAAGTGGTTGCTGTATTTGGATCGGTCCAGATGGCTGCATCTCGTCTTATTAATTTACAACACCATCGAATCGCACAGTGTCACACTGTTCAAATAAATATTACAGGTAAAATCTACTAGTTTTTATGAAAATAGCTAAGTTATCCTTTAATCAAATATATTTTTACCGTTTTTTAAACGTTTTAGGAGATGAGGGTGTTCCTGTGCAAGTAGACGGGGAGGCATGGATACAACCACCTGGGATGATCAGAATTATCCACAAGAACAAAATGAGAATGCTATGTCGGAACAGAGTATGAAAATAGTTTTGCATATCGATTAGAAAAATTTCAATTAACATTTGATTTCAGGCATTAGAAACAAGTTTAAAATCTTGGCAAGAAAAACAAAAGCAAAGTAAAATTCGGCCCTCTCATTCATTATCCCAAAGTGAAATGCAAATTCTTCTTTCATTTATAGAAGCAACGACAACTCTTGTCAAGTATGTTTTATATTCTATTAGTTTATAGAAAATGTATATTTAAATTTAATTTAAACGTTTTAGATGTGTTAAACTTTTAATTATTCGACACCCTTCAATTGAAGCAGAAATATACGACTTGGCGGACAGAACATCTTCAAACTTAGAAAAAGTTCATCCAAGTGGCAAAATCCAACAAGGGGTTCGTATTACATTTATATGCTGGAATTATGTCAAATATTGGGTGAATAATGTAGTTTTAAAATAAACATATTTCTTCCTTGGAAGATACCGTAGACTGTTTATTACTTGAATTCTTCAAGGATGTTTTAATTGTGACAAATAGATTGAGTTTTTTTACTATAAATTTATTGATAAGGAAAATAACAATATTAATTTGTTATTGTTCTTATAGCCTGAATTGAGAGTACTGTTAACTTCTTTGGTATCAAGTGCTAGGGAATTACATGAAGAAGCTTGTATGTTGTTAAAAGAAAAGGCTCAAAGTTTGGTATGTAATTTAAAATAAATAATTAAACACTTCATTGCTTTATGATTGTGGTTTTTTGGTTGAGTGATAATGAAATCCAATTACAGAAATTAGCTCCTGAACTGGAGTCTCAGTTGAATTACGCTTTAACATCAATGGAAAACGAATTGAGAAAGTGTCATGTATCAGAAAGCGGGCAAGCACTCGTCTACCTACATCAACTTTCTGATCAGGTATTATAATTTTGAATAGGTAATTAATTTAAGTTTAAATGATTTTTTTTTTTTTTTTTTCAGGAAAGAAAGAGCAAAAGTGGAAAGCTGTCTTGGCTCAAGTTTCGTAGGGAAAAGTGTGATAAAGGTGACATACCGAAGGGAATGTCAAGAGAAGTGAGCTCTTGGGGTGTGCAAGAGGTAATAGAAGAAAAATAAAGATTATAAATCTTCTTTAATTAATTTTCTAGCTTTGTAAGGATCCCTAATTTTGGTTTCTAGCTTTGCTAGAAATAAATAAATAGAACTTTTTCAGAATATATTTATCTTATATCTGAATGGTTTTAAAATGTGTGAAAAATATCTCATATTCATTAACTAACAGGGTGAGTTTAACTTCAGTTCCTACCTATATTTTGTTTATTAGGTAATTTTTGCGAAAAACCCTGAGACACTTAAAAAAAATTTTTTTTTGCCTAGTTTCTCATGATACAAAAAGTTTTGATCTAACTGTAGAATAATGTGATACTATTTCAAATAGCAAGATATTCGTAAATGTACATCTTTTGAGAGGTTTTCAGACACTGAATTCAAAGGTGCAAATGGTTTTTAATTTGGAGCAAATGTTCTCAAGTTATTTGCAAATTCGCAAAAAACTTTTTCCAAACATTGTTTTTTGGGTAAATGAAATCTTCTCCAACCTCTTCAGCCTATCACCAATTTATTTATTTATAATTTTAATTGATAGTAAATTACTTGCTCGTGGTACAGAAAGAAAAATTTTGTTAACAATTCCGTCAAATAGCATCAATTAACAGGATGCCCTGGATGTAGCTCATTAAATTGTGATTCAGTGCCAAATTTCAGTTCACTTTTCCCTACAGAAGAATCATCTCCACATTTTCTTGTAACGTACAAGACATTTTTTAAGATTTGCACAGCAAATCAAAGATTTGCACAGCAAATCAAAGAAAATAAAATTAAACTTTAGTATGATGGTTTTTAAAATAACAACTGGTGTTATCTATGCATTAAAACATTTCATTATTCAAAAGCTGCAAAGTTCATCAAATCAATATTTTACAATTTGTTAGATAATTTTGTCTATGGACCGAAATTTGCTCCCGGCCGAATTCCACTTTAATGAGCCACATCCAGGGGGTTATGTTAGGAAATTGTTGAAAAATTTTTCTTTCTGTACCATGAGCAAGTTATTTACCATCAATTAAAATTATAAATAAATAAATTGTTGATTGTTTGAAGGATTTGGAGATTTCATTCATCCAAAAAACAGTGTTTGGAAAGTTATTATTTTTTATATCCCCCACCCCAAATAACTTGAGAATGGTTGATCCAAATTAAAAACCATTTTCAAAAAGCATTTAAAAATATACATTGATGAGTACCTTATCATTAGAAAGAGTTAAGTTCCTAACCATATCCCGTTATACTAGGGGATCAAAACTTTTATTCCATAAGAAACTAGACACAAAATAAAAATTTACGAGTCTTAGGATTTTTCACAAAAACATGCCAATAACTTACCCTGTATTACACATCTGGAGTTTTATAGTGTCCTCGATCAAGCTAATTTGATTTAAAAACAACATTGCAATTGCTGATAATGTTAGCATTATCTATTATAATTAATTTATATAAATGACAATTTATTTTGGAATACTAAAATCTTGAAGATGTTAAGATAAAACTAACCAATACACGTCCTTTTTAGTTATAATTATTTGATTACCTTAGTTTGATAAATTGCTCGTTACCCATGATCATCATTTAGTTTCAGCCATCGTCTCCCTCACTATCATCAATTTGAGAATTCTCCATTTTTTGCTGCTCTGTGCAAGAGGTACACCGTATTTATTTTTTATGGTTCATCTGATATCCATTGTTGGGCACACCACCACATTATATGTGATAGAATGCAATTGTGAAAGTAAAGTGTTATCAAACATGATCATGTTTATTACACTTTGTATCAAATGTGAGCATTTAAGCATCCTTTTCTTGTAAAAGAGTAAACCCTTTCAAAATGTAATGTTGAACTAGTGCCGATGTTGATAAATGTTTAATAGGCTTATAATTTATTAACATTGTAGGCACTGGTAAATTTAATCTCATGTTGAAAAAAGGTTAAAACAAAAAGATTAATCGAATAGTGGCTAGACTTCAAGTCAGATGAACGTTTTCCCTCTCCTTAGTTTAATCTTGGTCTTAATTCAACCAATATATTGTATATACAAATTAGATTACCTATTTCAGACAATCCCGAAAAATAAAAACCATTAATTAGTAAAGTTGGAGTGCATTTTCGTAAGGTTATTTGTAAGAAGCGACAAGAAGAAGTAAACGTTTAAGATGTAAGAATAATCATTATTGTAGTTTTACTAAAGGGCACTTAAACAAATGCCCGATCCAAGGTGGAACATGGTTGAAATACACACAAACTGTTCTATATTGTGTCAAGAACCCACAAACAGTTTCCACGATATCCCATTTTTTACAGGCGATATCACATAAGAGTTTTAATCTTTTTTTTTTGTTTTTTAACCAATTGTACTTTGAATTTGTACACCTTTTTTATTTCATTTTATATCAACGGCTATATTTTGCCCGTAGGTAGGTGCGTGGCTTGACTCCATTCAGCTTGGCGAATATGCTGAAGCTTTCGCTCGACACGATGTCAGGGGACGAGAGGTCATTACTCTGACAAGACGGGATTTGAGAGACCTCGGCGTTACAAAAGTGGGACATGTTAAACGGTTACTGCACGCTGTAAAGGAATTACAGTCTTCAGCATGAGTCAGTTAATATTCAAGCTTATTTATTAAATATTTTTTCATAATGTCAAACAATTGTTTCAGATGCTGAGTTAATAGAACTGGCCATGTTTATTGTTTTTCTCCTGAAAGAAACAATGTGATATATATTCAATCGTTTGAAATTTAAAAGAAAAAATCAATCTTTTGTGTTTTTTAGAGTCTTTGAATGTTGAAATTGATAGTCTGATATAAAATGCCTTTGATAGAGCATATAGGATTTATAATAAGCCTTGATGAATAATTGGCGTGTTTTGTAATTGGCCAGATGAAATGATTATATTGATCTCAGTGGTATTAAAACTTTGGTTTATCAATTGTAAATCGTTATTATTTCGATTTAAAGTTTAAAACTAGGAAATTCACTTAGGAATATAATATATACATTTCTAATTTTATCACCTGTGGTTTTAACTAATAAAAATTAAGATTTTTATTGCACTTTAATGAAAAATCTCGGATCACCACATATCATTGTGGATTTATCTGTTTTTCTAACTTTCTAATCTTGGTGAGTGTAATTAATTTGTACTGCGTATTTCTATTTATATTGAGTTTTCAATTTTAAAATTGTATACAAAATATTAGATGGATGGGACCAACAAATGGTTGGTTACCTGAACCAAACGTTTTCCAACATTTTGAAATTTTGTATGAGTAGTCAACATCTACAACAATTGAAATCTTTAACCAATTAGTACGGGTAAAATTTAAAAACGTAAGTTCTATTTATTGTATATTTATATTGTTATTAAGATTTAACTCTATTAGGTGAAAATATTTTATCTTTCTCTAAAGCAATAATGGAAATGTTTAGCATATGCAATTTCAAATTTAGCTTATAAGGTAATAAATCATATTTGATATTGTTTTACTTTTAAAATAATGTTTTTTATTGCACAGGACAATCATTATTTAAAAAATAAATAAAAATCAAATGCAATATAATTAAATATGCTTGTTTTTAACAGATAAATCTCATATTTTGCTTTAAATGATCTGATGTAGGAAAAAAAATTATCTGTATATTTGTAGAGAAAATCAAGAATTTTATTTTCTGACACTCTAAATAGGCAAGTTTGACTGTACATTCTGCCGCGAACATTTTTACTACTGAATCTTTTTTTATTGTAAATAGTTTAAAAGCATAATATATAAAACAACAAATTTATTTATTTATTTTTAGCAATACATAATTTTCATGTAAAAATTAGTCATATAGAATGACGAGTGTTAGAAATAGAAGGCAATAAATATTTGTTCTCTAAAACTATATTGTTATAAAAAGATATTTTAATGTGACAAATTACATAATAAAAAAAAATCACCCTCCTGTGATTTACACTTGATGATAGATCAAACTTGTAATTTAAGTACATTGAAAAGTACCTTTTTCACTCTTCTAATGTTTTACATTAAATTAAGAAAAACTGACTAATCGATACTTTCTATTAAATGAGTTTCATATCACATTTGTTATAGCGAAGAGTCCTATATCTAACTGATAAATCTAACTTCCTTTAAGAAATTGAAATTAAAGTGATCAAACCCGACAGTGTTTATAGATCATAGTGTCCTATTAAATATAAATCTCTAATTGATGTATTAAATTGATCTTATATTTTCAATCTATTTTAAATGATGAAATTCTGTCAAAATTTCAATACTGCGTGGAGTTATTTAATCAATTTCAAACAGTATTATTAACTTATTATTAGAAAAAAAAATTCACAGATGAAAGGAGCTGTAACATTTATTGGGCTATTTTGGTAAAACATTTGAACAAAACTGTATCACATAATATATAAAAAAAAAGACTAGAATGTACTGTGATTATATACATTTTTCAACATATGAAACTATTATTACTATTATGAAATCAAATTATTTAATATTTATTAATTGTTGATTGTATAGCAATACTAGTTTTTTCTTTTTTTTCTCCATTACAAATAGATAGCACAATAAATTTAGTTTCTCCATCATGAATAGATTTTTTTTAACTTATGTAAATCTGTATATAATTTATTTATTAGTAGTGGCAGCAAGATTGTGAAAGAAATAAGACCACCAAACTGCCTTGTGCATTGTATAATCATTAGTTAGACAGCAATATTCTATTAAAATAATTAGAAATAGAAAATATACTACTCACAGTTTCAGATGCAATTTACAAAAAAAAAAAAAAAAAAAAAGTGATAATGACTTATTGTCATGTTAAAATATGTGATTCCCTTCACACAGTTGAACTGTGATATAACTTAAAAATATGTCTAAACAATTGATGCATCACATATGTATGAATTTAGTAAAGTATATATATAAACATACATTTAACAAGTTTCTCACTTCTATTCAAATGACCAAGTATCAATTTATGAAAATAATTGCATTAAAAAAATGTGTGCCTGTGCACAACTGATGTTATTCTATGAAACTTCATTTACAAATATTTCTGTGATACACTATTGGTGTGATTTATGATCTCCTCAGTATTACAAACTTCAGTGTTGATGCTTTCTCATATTTATTAATATAGCTAATGGTATCATATTATTGCAAATGCTAGATTTATTTTTCACAAGGAAAACATTCTTAAATGTTTGTGTCTATTGACCTTTTTTATGATGTCCAACAATGTTTGGTTTTAAACAAGCTACAACTGCTGTATTAAAATTTAAAATAAAAAGACTCGAGCGTTTTTTATTGTATTTTATTCCCATAGTACATCCATACCTTTAAATCCATACTTTATTTATTTATTTTTTATTTAATTTTTTTAATTAATTAATTTATTTATTTATTTATTTTTTGTTTGTTGATAGAATGGAAATGTATTACAATTGCGGCCGATGAACTTGATGACAGACAGGTCAAACTCAAATCCCTTTCTATCTAACTTTTGCGAAAGTCAGGTAGAACAGGGGATTACCCAGTAAAAAAGGCTGCATTTAAGTTTATTGAAAGGAATGTTTTGTTCTTCTAGAAAGGGGATTTAGCATTGTATTTTCAAATATTCCACTAAAAATAAAAATTGTTCTGAAAAAATATAAATTTAGAGTGAAGTAATATAATTCAGAAATTTAAAAAAAAAAAATTATCATTTACAAAAATGAATATATTTTAAAGTTCCTTATTAGAAAGAAATAATTTTTTAAAAATAGCGAGAGAAAATGTTGGATCAGGGATGATATAAACCTCTGTTATAAATGATATAAATGTACACATCTAAACAATATATCATTAGAATAAAGTAATATAACCCTGATCCTTAAAATCATATCACTATAATAAAATAAATAATAAATCAAATAAATGCATCATGATGTAAAGTATTATTTTAAAAATTATTTGATTGCAAAGAAGCTATAAAAAAATAGGTAGATCAAGGATGATACCAACTTCTGCCATGGTCATTGGCACATTATGAGACTACAAATGTTATTTTTTTCTGAAAAGATGTATATTCTTATCCAAAAATAGAATTGACATACTCACCCCACCTCAAATCAATATCATAATAAATTAAACAATATATAATCAATATAATATTGGAATAAATAATATCATTCAGGTGTAAAAAATCGTATATATAGATAAATGCAACATTAAAATATAATTTTCAACACTGTAGGAAAGATGCATTTAAAATAATTATTGGAAGAAAGTGTATTTAACTAAGGTACTAATTATTAATAGGCGGATCAGGGATGAACTTTGTTATGAGGTGTAATACATCATTTGTTTGTTATTAATTTTTTTCTTAAACAATTAAGAAATATTCCTGCTTTAGTGTAGAATAGATTGGTCAGCGGATATCACCACTTATAGATATACGTCTAACAAATTTCTTCTCTTATACAAATAATGAGACAAATGAAAAATTAACTCAAAATTTGGATGTTACTTGCTTCACACATTCGAACAGCACAAAATATTGAACAAATGAACCAAACATTTTATTGAAGTATTGACAAATTATAAATTTTACCATGACACTTGAACAATTTAAAGAATAACAAAATTGAAAAAATCAATGTATGCATAAAATCTGTAGAACAGGGATGATTTCAAACCACTGGCATGAGAACATGTGTTGATCACTAATTAATTAATCATTTGTACATCATTAACAACTTCAGGAGAAAACAAACAGCACCAAATTTTTTTATTGTTTACACTCTAGTATCAAGTGACTGAAATGATTTTTGATCAAGCACTGACACACAATAATCACATAAAAACTTTTAATTATTATTTTTATTAATAATACTTTTAATCTAAGATCTTGCTTTTTCTCTCAACGAAGAACTTGGATTAAAAGTACAATTAATTAAAATAATACGGTTGATTATGATTATTAAAGGATTTTTAATTATTAGTTGCATTTATCAAACAAAATTCCCTTTTCACTTTTGTTTTTAAAGGAACAATCAGAGGCAGATATTTTTCATATTAGATTAATGAGTATGTAGATCAGAAAAAGATCTTTGATCTAACAAATGACATAAAACTGTTGATTTGAAATTTATAATAAGATGGGTTTGATAAAAGTAATGATGATTTTTTTACGAAATCCTTTTGATAATAAATATTTCTATTAATTTATTTCTTTATGTGGAAATATAAAAGTTGAATTACATTTGTTGTACACCGAATCATGAGATTTAAAAGCTTTAAGTTTAATGGTTTACATAGGCTCAAATTTGCTCATATACATACATATATGTGTAGATTTTAGCCTATATTGAAAAAAATTCTCTAAATTCTAAATCTCGTGATTCAGCGAATCAAATTTAAATTTTAATTTCAAGAGAAACAAATAAATTAATAGAAATATTTGTTATTAAAAGGATTGAATTAAAAAAATCATCATTACTTTTAACAAACTCACCTTCAATTTATGCTACTTTTATATTTGATGTTGTATATTTATATGCTGTTATCAATGTAAATTTAAAAACATGTATGATAACAACATATAAATATACAACATCAAATATAAAAGTAGCATAAATTGAAGGTGAGTTTGTTAAAAGTAATGATGATTTTTTTAATTAAATCCTTTTAATAACAAATATTTCTATTCATTTATTGTTTCTCTTGAAATATAAAATTTAAATTTGATTCGCTGAATCTCGAGATTTAAAAACAAGTTTAATGCTTTTTACAATGTTTATTTTCTTATAAAAAATGTCTTATTTATTTATATTTTTATTATATTTTATATGTATGTATTATATGGTATGTATATATCATCATATACATATGAAAAATACAAGATCAAATGTAAAAGCTGTATAATTTTAAGATGGGTTTGTGTTTAAAGTAATGACGATTTTTTAATTAAATCCTTTAATAATAATTATTTCTATTAATTTATTTGTTTTTGTGGTAATGTAAAATTTGAATTAAATTTCTTGTAGGCCGAATCACGAGATTTAAAAGCAAGTTTAATGCTTTTTATATTGCTATTTTCTTTTTCATTTTTATATATTTCTAACTTTGGGATTTTAGAGTATTTATTGTATATTTATTTTTAACGCAAGATATAATAAATGGTGTAAGATCCTGGTCCCCACAGGTCTTTGGTGGTGGCCGACTGGCCGAAGATANATATATTTTGCATTGTATAAATTCACTTATCCACATCCTAAATGTATTTGTTAAATGTAAACATTGTTTGTAAATCCCAGGCCCTGAAGATGATCTCAATAAAAGATCGAAACGTTGGCACGATAAAGAAAATGTTTTTTTGAAACCTACATCACTCCCGACCGCATCTCACGATATCTGAATAACTATAGATTAACGGTCACTAATCTCTACACATTAAATGTAAAAGTTGCTTTTTAAATTGTTTATTTTCTTCTTTGTTTTTATATTTTTGATTTATAGTATTTATTGTAAATAAAAAGACTAATTTATTTATATTTTTAATATATTTTATATATATCATTATTTATCTTATTTACATATCAAATATACAAGATCAAATGTAAAAGTTGCTTTTTACATTGTTTATTTTCTTCTTTGTTTTTATATTTTTGATTTTATAGTATTTATTGTAAATAAAAAGTCTAATTTATTTATATTTTTAATATATTTTATATATATCATTATTTATCTTATTTACATATCAAATATACAAGATTAAATGTAAAATTTTGAACTTTGAGTGAGTAGAAATACTTTTTAATATATTTTATATATAACATTATTTATCTTATTTACATATCAAATATACAAGATCAAATGTAAAAGTTGCTTTTTAAATTGTTTATTTTCTTTTGTTTTTATATTTTTGATTTTATAGTATTTATTGAAAAATAAAAGGTCATTTATTTATATTTTTAATATATTTTATATATATCACTATTTATCTTATTTACATATCAAATATACAAGATCAAATGTAAAAGTTGTTTAATTTCAAGATGAGTCTGTTTAAATTAATGACGATTTTTTAATTAAATCCTTTTAATAATAAATATTTATGTTAATTTTATTTGTTTCTCTTGAAATATAAATTTGAATGCGTGGAGGATGCACGCAGTAGAAGAGTCATTTTTCAAATGAGAAAGTTGACGTAGATGGCGCGACGAAAGCAAGTGACGACTTGATTAGAATTAAACGCTGGGAAAGGTTTTTTTTCCTCTCCTTAATTTATTTTAATTATCTATCTCTTCGATGAAATTAAAAGCCGATTAAAAAAAAGTCCACGTCAAAGTTGTACGAGTGTTATAAACGTAGTAATATCCGTAAGAAAAGATATGAATCCCGTTATTCCGGATATGAGTCAACTTGTTAGTTGTTAAGGTGTTAGTCGAAGCATGTGCAGTAGTAGTGGAGTGACCGAACGTTTCGTATAATGGATTTTTTTATACATTAGTTCAAATCCGAAGAAATGTCGAAGAGAGTAAATATGTAGTGTTAGGACCGAGTGCGGTAACGTTTTCGAATTAGTGAGACTGTCGGGGTGGACGATCCTCCTCGGGAATCAATCCTGTCGTTTTTTTCCGTTCCGTTCTGTTAAATGGCGGCTGACGAAAAATGGTACTTTACGAAGGAACAACTTGCAAATACGCCAAGCAGAAAGCACGGGTACGATGCGGACAGGGAATTATCTTCAAGGCAGCAGGCTGCGAACCTAATACAAGACATGGGGCAAAAACTTCAAGTGTATCCTTTTCTTTTTAACACTACCAGGAAACGTGTACTACTTGTTTTCATACTCGGGTGCAACCTTCACCCGTTTTATTGCATATATCAATGTTTTCTTTTTACAGAAGGATTTCGGGATGTCTACTTTTTCAATCCCGTTTTCCTTTTGTATTTCACGCTGTGTTCTGTAATCGGACCCTTTTGGATTTATGCTGTCCGTTTGTGACGGGCCCCAGTCTAGGTTATACTACGTTCGACGGGGTGTTGCGTGATTTCGTGGTTTTTCCCCGTTGCGAAATGCGCTCGTTCGCACATTCCAGGCGTTTCCTGGATTTATTTTTTGACCGATTTTTCACCACCTCCACACGGTTCGATCCACGGCTCACCATCGTTTCCTTAAATAAACGTTAAACCTTAAAAAAGCCTTTTTACCACCTATAAATCGTTAAAACCAACCAGGAAAACGTTTTAAAAATAAAAATAAAAAAATTGAAATCTAAAAACGTTCTGTAACGCAATACGGACGGAAATTTGCTTGTGTCAGGCTGTTCTCGCACTCCTCACAGATAAAAAACGTCTCGTAATTGACGCTCTCCTTGTACTATTTTCATTCGCAATCATTTTTCTAACATGAAACGTACTTTTTTAAGTTTTTCAAACAGAGCAAAATATTTGTTTTGTTAAAATTGTTAGAACAAAGTCCATTGATAAACTAGAATTTGTTGCATTATAACATTAGATCTGAATGAACCTTGTTTGAGAATGACTTGTGAATTGTCCTAAAACAGTACTTCATTGATTTCATCAGCAATTTTACACGCCTTTTTGTAAGTTCTTGATTATGACAACAAATGAAAATTTAAATTTTGCAGAAAACAATATATTTTTTTTAACAAAGTTACTTTATAAACTTCAGTATACTGTCATTATACTATAAACAGTCGTTTCGAGAATTACCCGCAACCTATCTGAAAACCGCCTTTTATGTAAATTGATTTTAAACAATTTTACAATCTGCTTCGCCTTTTATATAAATTTGCAAATAAGGTGAAATATTTTGTTGTTCAATGCGGAATAATGTTACGTTTTATTTCTTTTGGTTAAAAACTTCAATTTCTTTTTGCGCTTTGATAGCCTGGTTGACAAACGCTGGACTCGAATGAACCTTGTATGAGAATGACTTGCGAACCGTCCTAAAACAATTGTAGTTCATTCATCAGCAATTTTATATGCCTTTTTATAAGTTGTTGATTATAAGAACAAATGAAAATGTAAAAGTTTGCAGAAAAAAGCAATGTATTTGTTTTTCAACAATCATACTCCATAAACTTAATGCACTTTGATCATTAGAGTGAAATGACGCTTGTTTCAGTCGGTTCGAGAATTACACGCAACCTATCCAAAAAATTGCCTTATATGTAAATTGATTCTTCACAGTTTTATACTCTGTACCACCTTTAATATAAATTTGCAGATAAAGTGACATATTTTGTTGTTCAACGCGGAATGTCTTGTTTTATTTCTATTGGTGAAAATCTTCAATTTCTTTTTGCACTTTGATAACCTGATTGAAAAACACTGGATCCGAATGAACTATTTTACATGCATTTTTGTAAGTTCTTAGTTTAAGAGCTAATGAAAATTTAAAAGTCCACAAAAAAAGGACATATTTGTTTTTGAACAATGTTACTCTAAAACTAAGCTAAACTTTATAAACTTGGATTCTATAATTTATTTATTTTTTTAAAGGGTTTGGGTGTTGTTGCAAAGACACATTCTTTCCGTTCCTTCCTCCACTGTGACCTAAACAGGTGTATTGTGGAATCCCTAAGCCATACCTTGGAAAGTGCACTATTGCTTACAAAACTTAGCACTTTCCTAGGTATCTCTTTATGGATCTCCTTTGGTATGAGAAATATCTTACTGATGTGTTGTACCATAAATGGGCTAATGCTTTACATTCACAAGGATATGTGTCAATGTCCCTGGTTCCTCCTGACAGAGCAGGCACGTTTCCTTCTCAGCTTTACCCATCTTTAGATGATAAGAGTACAGTGGCTGGTATTGTCATATCCTGCCTGCTGAGAAAGGAGTTCATTTGCCTTCCTTTTTGAGAGATTTATAATTCTCTTAGCTTGCCTCATACCTGGAGTGTTTGTCCAGTGCCTGAGTTTTTCTTTCTCAGTATATTTTTCCATTTTCAACTTAAACACACACCTCGGTGCACCCAGTTGTAGTTCGGGTCCCATGGATGGGAGGGTCACCCTAAATGTAAATTTGCGAATCAAGTGAAATATTTTGTTCAACTGTAAAATGCAGAATAGTGCCATGTTTCTTTGTGTTGAGGATAAACTTCAGTTTGTTTAATTTTGTTAGTGTGATACTGAATTTTCCTTGTTTCAGCCATTCTGAGAAATGTGCGAACTCTTCTAATACAATAATAATTGATCCAGGCACACTTTTATGTACCTTTTTATGTAAGGACAAAAAAAAATCTTAAAAGTTTGAAGAGCAAATAGAAATTTGCAAATCAAGTGAAATATTTTATTGTTCAAGGTATATTTTTGTGTATATTTTTTTTTTCTTGTGGTTAAACATTTATTTTTCCCTATGTGCTTTGACAGCCTGATTGAGAAACACTTGGACCCAAATGTACCTTGTTTCTGTCGAGAAATGGTCGACAGTAAATTTATTCTACTGCTTTTTCACTTTTTTGAAAATATATATATTTCTAGTCATTAGAAATGTGTTTTACATTGTGAATCTCATCAAATGATGTTTGATTGTTTGTGGTAATTTTTGTCTGCTTATCCTTGCTGTTTTGGTCTGTCATGCTTCATCTCTTCGCCATTTTCGTTGGCAAGTGGTTATAGGCAAAGTGAGATGCGAAACAATAGAAGTAAAAATTCTTGTTTGTCATTTTTAGTAAATCATTTAAACATCCATGTATTTCCGTTTCTCATCGATGTTGAATCGTAGTTTGTTTTTCTATAATAACAGTGATTTTTGCTTGATCAATTAGTTTTTCTAATTTTTTTAAATAGATTAATTGTTTAGGGATTATATGAAATTTACAACTTTATTACTTTGGCTTATGGGTCTGAGACCATCTCTGCCCATTTTTATTTGTTTTGTCTGTCAGACTTTTTACAGCATTTTGTCATTTTTGGTGGTTGCTTTGGTCAGACTAATAACTCATCAGATTGTCTTAGTTTTTGTTAGATGTCTATTTATTAATTTTGATTATAGTAGGCTTTTCCAGTTTTTTAAAAATTTTATTTACATGCATTTTGAGGCATTCATGTCCTCTTCCTCAGAAACATTTATTTGAGCTTCAACATACAGCTCTATTTTATATTCTTATCTTGTCTGTTACGGCTCAAATAAATGTTTACTGAGGAGTGATCGAAATGTATTTAAATGGAAAAAATTAAAAAAGTTGTAAAAAGCTTACTATCACAGATTAAATGCAGAAAGATCGTAGAAATCAAGCTACAAGTTCGTTACCTGGCAGATCTCAATAAGTATTTAAAACAATTTAAATGTTATTTAATTGTTTGCAACTTGAGGACTTCCCTTCATTTCCAGTCTTCCTTATTCTTGCCAGTTTTGTGTGTCAGAACGCGTTATGGTATTTCACCATGTTTTGTAATCTGATAAAATAGTCGTCCAACTTTGACACATTATTGTTTTGTTTTTCTAGGCACTTTATGTTAAATCATAATATTTACACTTTTTCCAGTTAATGTACATTTAGTCGCCTTTAAAATCCCCCCCCCCCCAATATCCGTTAAATTGACAAATTATTAATTAAAAAGAACAGTCAATTTTTAATAACAAACATAACTATATCTAGGGGGACCGTTTCGGTGATGTATGTATATTCATTTATACATACGATATGAATATTTTATTAGTTTATAATATGAAATACATAATTTAAATTAATTTTTAGGTCAATTATGATCTCTAAATACTTACTTGGATTTATATTTAAATTAATTATTTTCATCTCAATCAAAAACCTTAGATAAAAAGAATAATTAATATTTCAATTATGATCGCTAAGCAAATATGGATTAATTTAAATTATGTTAATTCTTAATTTCTTATGCTGTTGCACATTGTAAGGTCAATCGTTCAATTGAATAACACATGGGGTGCTGGTGTTTTTGAAAAAAATCCCATTTGTAGGTTTTACAGCGATGGTGAGCGCCGTTTCAATGCAACTGTTGCAACCACTGACACTCCCGCAATTTTTGTTAAAGAACAGAGACAATTCAACAAAATTCTGCCTGGTTTTGATTTTTAAAGGTGTTGCCTCATTTCGTGTAAATGTGTTTCTTTTTCCATGTTCATTGGCCAGTTTGATATTTATGATGCTGTCTTTTAGTTAATGGAATATTTGTGTGTGTGTGTGTGTGTGTGTGTGTTTATTTATTTATATCGCTAGCCCTTTTCACATTAAAGCTTGGTATTCTATTATTATTTGTGTCTTGAGGCTTCTGTAGCCTTGTGAAAATGTTCCACCTGTTATTTAATATCTTATCAGCTCCTCATTAAAAGAAAAATAATATAGATTGATGTATTTGTCTAGTATTCCATCACAGAACCACATATAAAAGAAACCCATGCCCATAAAAAAAAAAAAAAAAAAAAAAAAAAAAAAAAAAATATTCTTTAATATTATCATAGATAATGTAATGATATATATATATTTTTAATGTTTCTTAGTATATGATTCATATCAGTTCATTTTTTATATCTCATTAATGGTTTTGATTAGTTTGAAAATATTGTCGCATTCCTCGTTATTAGCTTAGTTTTTCAACTTGTATTCAATATTGATTTAAATGACCCCAGATTTGTTGTTTAATACTTAAGGTATTTTGTTTTGTTGTAAACCAACTGAAGATAAAGAAATACTTTACAAAATCAGCGAGAATTGGATGGCTATGGTTATCAATCAGACACGATCAGTCTACTGTTGATGTTTCACTTATTAAAGGGTGGTTTTTAGTATTCAATTTGAATATACTAGGTAAATATGCAAACTAAAAAGTTTCAAATTTATTGCGCAATATTACTGCCAGTCTTAATGATTGCATCCATAACCGTTATCACAGCAGTTATTCAGTTTTACATCCAGTCTATTCATAAGTTGTACAAATGCGTTGAACACTTTGATTAATCATTTTACCGAACAAGGAAAAAAAAAACGCTATTAAATACGCTGTTTTGCAAGCAAGTTAATGTGTTTATCTCTAGAGCAATTCCTGTTATTCAATCACAGTCAAGATAAAAGATAGATTTTTTCACGCAAAGTTATGTTTTGAAACTAGTATCGATTCGTCTCTATTTTTGTTTACATATTTGGACTATATTTGTTATTTTTCTTTTAACATGGTGTGTCGGGTTCACAGCATTTGAGACAACAAACGTTTTCTGTTTACAAACAATAACTTACTCGATGTGGATTTAATTTTAAGAAATTATCCACTCTTTTAAAAACTTGATTAAGCATAGGTTTAGATCTCAAGTATTTATCAATTAGTTAAATAAGGTACCTTTAGTGATAAAATGAATTAGGTTTAGATAGTGAAATAGAAAAGTGTCCTTAGTACCAACAAATTGAATAGAATGCTGTCACTTCTAATCTATTATAATCTGAATTCTTTTGAATAAAGAATAAACGTGTCAAAATTCACTGATCCCATTTTTACGGTTTTATTCCTCTCTCCTTGTTCAAGACTTCATTGCCCAGTTAAAGCTTTTATCAGCTTTTAGATTGATAATTCCAACAATAAATTTTTATTTAATGTTTAGGTCTTGAATTTATTATGTCATATCCCAAAAAATTCATACTACTTTCTTCACTTTATAACAGATATGTTTTCTTTATTAAAAAAAGAATTATTATTAATTATTCACAATAAGATAGTTTTTTTCCTAAAATATATTTTGTCCCAGATTTTTTGCTCAAAGAATATTATTCTAAAAGTGGTTCAGAACAGAACACAGCCAAATATGTTTTTAATTTATTTAACCTTTATTTTTAATATTTATTATTTTTTGTTTGTTTGTTGTGTATGTTCCCTTGTTTTTCTGTTATTTCCTTAACAAGATTTACAGTACTCAACTATGTATAAATACAGCTATTGTATATATGCACCGCTTCTATATGTTCCATTCGTTCACACGGTTCCACCGTAACTCAATGGCAGCTGCAGCGTTATTTCTCGCTGCCAAGGTCGAGGAACAGCCGAGGAAATTGGAATACGTTATCAAAGTAGCTCAAATTTGCCTCCACCGAGACCACCCGCCTGTTGATATACGATCAGAAGTAAGTTCTGGCGATTTTAGTTCAACCAATGTCAGAACATATATGGTTACTAAGAGACAAAACTTATTTTACAAAAATAGGCGTACCTTGAGCAAGCACAGGAGCTTGTCGTCAACGAGAATATCCTGCTGCAAACGCTGGGGTTCGATGTCGCAATCGACCACCCTCATACGCATGTCGTCCGATGTTGTCATCTTGTCAGAGGTCAGTAATCTTGTCTGCATTTTCAGAAGTAAATTTTAACTTTTGCATGTAAAATTTGTTTATATGTGCAATCCTTATGTACAGACACCTTTTTTCCCATGGACATATACCAAATTTATCCATCGCTTTTTAAAATAATTAAACTTACACGTTTTCATTTTCACCTAACAATGCTTCTGTTCTAGTTAATTTGTTCAAATGTTTCTTTTGTTTTTATGTTTGCTCCAAAATCCCTTTTGGTAAATTATGCTTCTTTGTATTTCATTACTTCCTACTTCTGTAAAAATTGGCTTCTTTTTTTTCTATATGTCAATTATTTTTGTAAGCAAAAATCTCTTAAAAGTTTCTGATTATTGACCTTCCTGTTTGTTTTGGTGTAATTTTGTATTTCAAAAACAAATTAATGGTCTTGTTTGCAACAAAGATTGTGCGGAATTGTTAATTTGTCTCACTGAAAATTAGATGAGTTGAAATAGAATAACAGGTTGTAAATTAAAATAAAAATTTTCTTTTCATCATGTGCCCAAAGTATCAAAAGTAGACTTTTATTATCCTTTATTCATTAAGCTTGCAAGAAAACCAGTGTTGATATATTTTGTCATCACAACCCTTTTTCAAGAAATCATGTTGAGGGAAATGTGGTATTTAAGTCCTTAGATCAGTACAGTTATGTGTGTTAAACGTGCTTTAATTAGTTGTTATTAATATCTGTGTTCATTAAATTTTAACATTGTAAGAAAGACTTTCAGTATTTAGCTGGAAAGCATAAATAGTGGGTTAGAGTGCCCATGATTTGCTGATTACATCGACTTTTTTTGTTCATGGAATTGTTTTTTTTATTGTTTAAATTTATATTAAATACTACAAAATAGGCAATCATTTCTAATCAAAATAAATAAATGCAGTCTACTCTTGTTAATTCGAAACTTGATAATTTGAATTTCTTAATAATAAAAACTCCTCAGCAGGTTGGTTATTTGATAAATTGAAACAATTCTGGGTCTTTGATACACTAGTTAATTACAAGATATTTTTGTAAAGGGGAGAAAGAATATTGTATAAAAATCAAAGTGGTGCCACTTCCCTTCTTTATAATTTGAACTTTTTCTCTGTAAAATTTCCACATCTTGTTTACTTCCTTCCTTAGAACCTAAAATTTTTTTTTCCAATGTTGCCTAGTTTCTTATGTTTGGCAGTCTGTGTTTTGTAAATGTTTTCTCAGTACAGGTCACATTAGAAAATAATTTAGACAAAGGACACCAGGCCACATGGAAACAAAAACCGCTTCATTATCTTTTTTTGATAATACATAACAACATTCCATTTTGTGGTTGATCTATTTCCGCTTTTTCATTATTTTTACAATTTTTGTATATGTACAATTCAAGTAATAACTTGTAAAAACGCATATATCAACTTTTAATAATTTGATTTTCTTTTCTCTTGATAATTGAAATTATTTTTGTGGTGGTCCCTTGGGGTTTCAAATTATCAAGAGTCGACTGTATATATCATTGGGTCGCAAATAAAGATAAAATCAATTTAATCTCCCAAAATAATCTGTATTAATATTCATTCTGCCATTTCTGTTACAACTTTGGAACTAAATATTCTGCCACACTGCCTCCATGATTACTGATATGAGGCCATTACAATCATGAGCAGTCACATCTTAGGATCATGGTAACGGGAGGGTGTTGCAAATAAATAAGTAAAAAATTAGAATTGTAGTCATATTTTTGGTTGGGTTGTCCAGTGTGATGAACATGCAGCTTGGTCAATCATTATCACATCCTTACTTGTTGGTGTGATAATTGGTGACTGAACTACAGATCGTATTATATGTGTTACAATATATTGTGGGATATTTCAATCGCTATTAAAGATTGAACATATGTAAAAGATTTCAGAAGTCACCTGCAATTTTTTAATACCTTCAACCCTGTGCTTGCCTTAAGTAAATTTTATTGTTCCCTGTTCAAACCATGGGACTTAAAAACTAAAACTTAAATTACTATTGAATTATTTTTTTATTTTTTGTGTGGTTCACTAGTTTTGATTTTATTGATCTCAATTGAATAGAATGGCAGTTCACTTTCTTTATAATAGGCCACTTTTTGAAAAACAAAGAGTAATGAAAGAAATAAAGCTTGAGTCAATTGCTTTTTTTGATCTCAGGTGCCCCTAAAAATAGTTAATTCAGAAACTTTTAACAGATTTTATTTATTTTGTAGTTGGTTAGTATATAAGTTTGTGACTCTCGGGGTTGTTGCAGATTGGGGGTTTACACCCAAGGGGCAATGGTTCGGCTGGGGGTGGGAACGATGAGGGAGGCACTGGGGGCCTTTAAGTGTTCCCGAGACGCTGGCTAATAGAGAAGGACTCCTAATGATTCTATTAAAGTCAAATCGATAATTTTCATATGTGTGTGGTCTTTTACTTTTAATTTAATTGGTTTTGAATAATATTTACTTTTTATTTGTAGCAATTTTTTTCTAATTGCATTTCAGAACATCACAACTATTCTTTGCTATGTTGTGACATTCTTGACCTATATAATCAGAATTGGAGCAAGAGAATCGACCTGTCCCCAAACAGAAATAAACCCAAAAAATATATTTAAGGAAATTAAAGTGAAATAAAAAGAATGATAAATCCAATTCTAAAAAAAATATTTGAAAGAATATATTGTACACCCCTAACACAACACCTTTAAAAATCTATCAGCTAGCCAAACATTATTCATCACCAAAAGTTAATAATAATATAAAAAAAATCTGCTTTGGAAATCAAAATTTAATAGTATCAAAATCAATTAAGTTAAAAGTAAAAGGCCACATACATATAAAAATTATACGAGAATCATAAGGAGCCCTGGTCTATGAGCCAACGTTTCGGGAACACCTAAAGGCCTCAGCGCCTCCGCCATTGCTCCTGCCCCCAGCAACCATTGCCTCTCGGGTGTCAACCCCCAATCTACATCCAATCTTGGGGGTGACAAGTTTTTGTTGCCAATTAGTCAAAACATTAATTTGCTTTATTTGAAACCACAATTTTTCATTTTTTTTCTACAATTTCATATCATTTTTTGCCCCCACCCAAAAATAAATATCAATATCCAAAAAATAATTAGAATTTTTGTTTTCCCTCTTTTTTATTCACAGAGAATTAAGAGAAATCAGGCCATTTAAAAACCCTAGTCTTCGGTCTTTATTCTTGTATCTTGTTTCTCGTTTTCCATTCCTTTTCCAGACAGAACACAAGCCTCCCTCCTTATGCCCACACCACGTTTCCATGTTCCATTCCCAAAACGATTAAAATAAATACAAAGAATGGCTCTGACTGAATGTAATGTGTTTTCTTGGGTTCTTCCTCACTTGCCTTCCTGCATATTTGGTTCTACAATTGGATGAAAACGTTTTTCACTGAGCAGCCAGTAAAGAGTTGGCCCAGACTTCGTACTTTATGGCATCTAACAGGTAACTACTATATTATTATATTATATAATTTTATTTCCACAACGACGATGCAAAGTTGTACTCTGCCTGTTAAGGCTCAATAATACGCCATCGGCCACCTACATTTCTCCACGCTTTGTGAACTTTCTTTGAATTCACATATAATTTAATTTTTATATTTTTTGTAATAAAAAAGTGTAATTTTTTAAAATGACATTATAATGCCTCTCATACAAGAAAGTCCTACCCATTTATTGTCATGGATGAGGGGCCAGGACTACTTTACAATACTTGTTTTTTTCCTCCAAAATGATTTTCAAATAATAGTCCCAAGAGATACAAAACCAGAACTTGGCAAATAGGAGTTGGACACCTTAATGACTTGTTATATTAAGTTTGCAACAATTAAGCAAAAAAAAATTAAAAAGTTTTATTATTAACTAAAGGTTACATATTACTAAATTATTTTAACAATACATAATAATAATAATAATCAGTTTTCATTTAAATATACACAATATAATTTTACAAATATGTTATTTAAATTATTATTATTATTAAAATATTACTTCGCTGAAGAACTACTGAATTCCATTTATTAACCCATTTCAAATGGTCAGCACTCTTTGTTCCAAAAGTTAGGTACCGCCCCTCTACGCAGGTATCGCACTCTACTCTCTTTACTTTCAGATTCAAATTCATAGAAGCAGTGTGCTGTTTATTAAGTAATTATTTTCAGTGCTGTGTGAGTGGAAAATTTAGAAAACGCCTTTTTTGACTGTTTTAAAACATTCAGGAACATAGGACACTCCTGAGTATCCCTCCATCCTTAATGTGTTAAACAACACATTGTTCCTTTGAACTAAAGTTCAAAAGTGAAGAGACTAGTGTTAGGGTACACTCTCAGTACTTTACGAAGGGAAGCAAGAGTTCGATATCATGCTCACCGCCTGGAATGGTTTAAAATAATGAAGAGAAAGTATTCATCACTTTAATCTGTAGTCTCGAAGAAATGAGCTTCAAGTCCCTTACTAGTTTTATAAAACATTAGATTATAATTTTATAGCTGACTATTAACACAAAAAAATTATATACATAGTGTAGAAATTTAGTTGAAAATTATTGCTTTTTATTTAAACCGGATTTTAAATTATTTTTCAGCCTTCATCTGACGACGATGTGCCTTCAGTATAAACCTACAGAAGTCGCTTGTTTTTGTATCCATTTAGCGTGCAAATGGTCAAACTGGGAGGTAAGAATTTTTGATAAAGAGGACAACAATAATAGTTCAAGAACATCACCCTTGACCACCGCAATTTGCAATTTTTAGATACCTCAAAGCACTGAAGGGAAACCGTGGTTTTGGTATGTCGACAAATCAGTGACTCAAGAGTTGCTGGAACAGTTGACGGACGAATTTTTAGTCATGTTTGAAAAGTGTCCGTCAAGGCTGAAGAAAAAGATCATGTCGCTCTCGTCGACCCAAAACTCGACTATATTATCAGCCTTTGGGAATGTAAGTACTACTCATTGTGATTGAAGTTTACTGTTCATTTTTCTCCCCATAATTGTATTACCAATTGTTTTCCTTAATTTTAGGATGGAGATAAAAAACGAAATGGTGAGGGATCCAGTGGATCTGGTATGTACAGTTACAAAACAAATCTTTTTTATATTTATAATTCTGCAGGATGATAATTTCTTTCTTTATTTTTTTGGGGGATTTAGCTATTTCTTTTGGCAGTTCTGATGACATGAAGAAAAAACAAGAATTTCAAAGGCACTATCCAGACTTCAAAAAACATCCTAATATGCCTCATCATTCAAGGTTAGTTTCTAAAACTGAATTTTTATTTTGTTTTAATGAGTTTAATCTGCATTCACACTTCCCTGAAACAACGCAACACAATGCTGCAGTGCCACCCCATGCCAATCTGAAGTCTGATTTTCCATAAGAATCTATTACTCACGTATTCATTTACCCGACACGCGGCACAGTACCACTCTGCTCTAACCTCTAACTGATTGCTGCTGCTGCTATTTCTTCTGTCTTCCCAACATTCTTCCTCAGAGCTATTCATTTCATGAATACTACTGTATTATACTGTGGTGTATAACACGCGATAAAGCGTTGGATCACATTGTGTTTCGTTGCATCAGGTAAACGGGTTATTTGGACTACTGAAAATTTGAATGGGAAGAATCGACCCACTGTCTCTCACTTTTTCTCTCTCCCTCCCTCCCTTCTCCTTTCTTCGCCCCCAAATGTTTCATTTGTTTCCTCTAAAATTGTAATTTTTTTTTAAATCCATCCAAAAGTGATTTTTATTGTTAGTAATCCATCTAATAGCATGTATGCAGCATGACGTTAAATATATTATAGCCAATAAAAGTTGACAGTACATACGTATTAAATACAAAATCATTTATAATTAAAATATGTTTGTGTTATAAAGTATGAACTGAGCATTAAATGGTTATTTAATCACTTTATTATAGTAGGGTTGTGTAAATAATTATTTAATGTGTGGATATTTCAGGCCTGACTCCCATGGGATGCAATCAAAATCGTCTTGTATGTTTGGCCCTCCCCAGAGGACGCAACCACCAGTTCATAGTGGCAGTAGTGGAGGAAGCACGAATCAAAGTCGGTCTATGCCGGTCAAGCCGAACGCTGGCCAAGATCCAGCACTGGCGAAACGCGACCATCTCCACCATAAAATGAGGAGGCCGGAAGAAAAACATCCAACTAGAAACCATGAACCGATTCCACCTCCTTATAAAAAATATGATAAAGTGTCGAGTGGCAGTTTAAGTGATTTCCCGCAGAATAGTTTGAATAACAATGTGCGTGCTGTTGGAACTTCTAGTTATATGTTACCTCCTAGTCACCAACAACTGCAGCCACAGGCACAACCACAGCCGACTCAAGCTCATCATCCCCAACCACAACAGCCACAACCACCTCAAATTTTACACCCGGTAATGGATGTAAAACCAGAAATAACACCCCACACAATCAATAAACATCAGATACATCCACATGCTCCCAATTCAGCTCCACCTAAGCCAAAAACACCCCCTGCACCTCCTCCACCCGTTAAAGTGGAAAGGTCCATATTCAGTCCCGAAAAGAGCACGCCTCCGATGGAAACGATGACCAGGATAAAAGTTCCTTCACCGACTGTATTGCCTTCTCTTACTCCAGGAAGTGATACGTCCAGAAAAAGAAGTATATCCCGAGAATCGGAACTCGCCATATATTCAAAGACTGAGGATGTTAAACCTACACCTCCTCCTCCTCCTGTTGTTCAAGTTCAAGAACATATCAAAACCGAAAACCTAATCAAAGAAGAAAAACCCTTAGACAATAAAACTTATTCCCCTGTGGAAACATCCCTTCCGGTGATCGAACCTTTAAATTCCACCCCTCCTCAGTCGACTTCTGCTCAAGAGGAATCTCACAAAGAGCAGAAGAAAAAGAAAAAGAAACATAAAGAGCACAAAGAACACAAAGACAGACATAAAGACAAACACAAACACAAGCATAAAAATCGCGATAGTGTGAAAGCCGACCCGATAGTAATAACGATACCAAAAGAAAAATTGACGTTACATCAGCAACAGCCCGAACAAATCCTTAAACTTAAAATTCCAAAGGATCGGATCGCTGCTGCTTCAGTACCTTCACCGACTGGCCTTAAGATTAAAATACCAAAGGACAAGATAAAGGAGTCTAACAAGAGGGATCGAAGCGAAGACAGAAATGCCGGTCCCCCTTCAAAATATCACAGGCCCAATGGAACGACATTGCAGGTAAATAAAACAATAGATTTAATGGAATGTTCTTCCAACTCCGACATTAATGAGAATGACACTAGTAGTTTAAATTCTTCTTTATCACCTCTTGCCTTGAATAATCTTTCTTCTTCTTTTGACGATGATCTAGTCCACAAAACACCACCTGGTATGACAGAAGCAGTATTAGAATTAGTAAAGTCTTTTGAAGCTGAAAAATCTAAGCAAACTGATAAGTCAGAATCTAGTAACAACAATTGTACTAATACTACTCCTACTAATAATAATAACAGAAATAATATAAATAATAATAGGAACAAACAAAATAATAATCTTGTTAGTAATTATAATAACCAAGAAATAGTTGCAGATGCTTATCACTTCCCAAATGTTAACCGTGAAAAATACAATAATCGCAATTATTACAGACCGGAACAAATGAACTATAATAAAAACAATTACAGAGGCCGGGGAAGAGGTAGGTACATTAGAAATAGAGGTGGTTATAACATGGGTCCTAGGCCTCCTCATCCGAATTACCCCGGAAACTTTGTACCTCCACAGATGAACATTCCTCCGCCCACACTCGGCTACAACCCAATCCCATTAATGCATCATCCTCAGATGCTCCCGTACTTCACATCACAAGTTTACGTCCCTAATTATCCACCACCACCTCCACTGCCCGAAGAACCGCCTCCACCTCAGCCACCTCCACCGCCACCGCCTCCTGATTAAGCCCGTTTCATTTAAATTTTTAGAAAATTAAAAATGGATAATTAATTACTTTTCGAAATTAGGTAGAATAACTTTGTAACATAAATAAAACATAAATAAACACTTGTGAATTAATAAAAATACTATAAATAAAAAAGAGGGACAGTTTAAACATCTTTTAAATAAAAAATAACAAAAAAAATATATATATAGTTCTTGTAGTTTTATGTTTGAATAATGTTGTTGGTCATGGGTTTTGAAGCGTTTTGGAATGAATTATTATGTTCCAATATTTAAAATTATCGGTAACTGTTGAAAATTGATCTAGGGCGTTTTAAAACATCACATGGGTAAAAAAAAATTTAGTCTATTTGTTATTAGCATTACAAAATTGAGTTATTTTAAAAGAAGCAACAGCTCTTTTTTTTATAAACTATTGGTTTCATTTTGTCTCTATTCACTTCCATTTTATCATAGTTTTAAAATTTACCATGGTGTTAAGAAATTTATTTTATTTGCCCTGAGCGAATAGGTTTATTTTAATTAATCAAAGTTGAATTAAAAGGCTCTTGTTGATGTGATTGTTCAATTTTTTGTTGGAAGGAGTTTAGTTATTATTAAGTATAAAATATTATATAATTTTATACTGCATGATGATAGACAGTATAAGTCGTATACAAATTTAGATTGCATGGTGCTATGGATTTGAAAATGTAGATTTTTTTTATAAGTGCAATATGCTATTCTCACATTATTTGATTTTTTTAGTCGTAAATTGAGTCAGTAGTTTTATTTTTATATTGTTGTATATTTGAAATAATTAATATTGAAATGTGATTGTTTATTAAGAGCAATGAGCCACTAGGTGATTAGACAAAAACATAATGTAAATAAAAAGTGCCAATTATTGCTATACTCGAAATTTTCATTTAATTTTACTTAAAATTTGTAGAAAATTTAATTTATATGCATTAAATTGAATTTATATCTACATAATTATATATCTATATTATGTATATATTCAGTATACAAAAAAAAAGGAAAAAGTGTCATATGTAGGATAATCTTGAAAGTTCCTAATTTTAAGGAGACCATGTTTTCCTTATTTAAAACATGTTTTAAGAAAAAGTGGACTTATCTTCTGAAAACTATTTTATTTTAACCTACATAGAAAAGTTACAAATTTATATTTCTCATCTTGTCTTTTTTTAAATTCTACTGTGTAAAATAGTTTTTATTTCTTTTGTTTGTAGAATTTTATTAATGTTATTAGCTTTTAGGGTTTTCTTCGGAGAAGGTTGGCTGTTTATTTGTTTTTTCTTTTTCTTTATTCACTTGTTAAAACTTGTGTAGATTTTATTTTATTAATTTCTGTTATAATTTTAATACCAGTACTCATGATGCGAATACTCTTGTTATAGAGGAAATATATATTTTAAAATATACGCATAATCTATATTTATAGGTGAACTTAGATAATCTAAAAATTACTTTATTCAATTTTTTTACTTTTAACTGTAAAAACAGAATTGAATTTATAAAATAGTTTATTTAAATTACAGAGGATTTTTTTCAGTTTAAAGGAACTAAGTGCCTTTCTATTTGTAATCAATTTTATTGAATTGTTATATTTTATAAATAAATAAATTCACTGGTTTGAGTGAAAAATCTGTGTATTAATTTCCAAAACCTACTTAACTTTTAACTTGCTTGATTGCATAATTGGATAATGTTTAATTGTACACAGAGTTTGTTATTTAGTGATTAAAACAGTTTCAATTTTTTTAAAATGTGAATTTATTTATTTTTTTAAATTATTATTTTTTTGAAAAAATTGGTTTGTATATACAATGGTGTAACTTATCTTTTTGCAAAGCCAATCCTCAATAGAATGAGAACATTTGAAGCTAATCGACTCACTTCTTTTTAAGCATGGTTGTGCATGGTTTTCTTGGCATGTCAAACAAATCTATTTAAGATAACGATAATGGAGATTTTATCTTCTTTTTTTTTACCCGCATGCGATACGATTACATTAAATTTACCAACTGTGGTTCCCACTGCTTACAATATTGTGATTTTCAAACACTGCTAAAAAGTTTTTTAAATTCTGAAGTAGATTAACACAGTGATTAAAAAAATAAAAATAATGTGTGGGTATTTCAACTGCGAGGTTATATGTTACCCTCAGGTGCCGGGGTTAAATTAAAAAAAAAAAAGTGTGGTGTTTAGTGACCGTTAGTCAATGATTATTCGGAGATCGTGAGATGCGGTCTGGTTTGACGTTGGTTTTAGAAAAACATTTTCTAAAGAATATGCACGATAAAGAAAATGTTTTTCTAAAACCTACGGTCACACCAGACCGCATCTCACGATCTCCAAATAATTTAAAAAAATGTTTGTAATTATGTCGAGTTGGAATTCAGGGCCGTTGGATTCAAACCCCCGGGACCTTTACTGTACATTAATGAGTGCCGTGTCAATGCCTAAACTGTTACGGCCACGGCACCCCATTTTTTTAAAATTAATTAATTTTTTTTATTGTGTACATAGTATTTACTACCAGTATGCATAACTTTTCTACAATTAATTTTTTTAATGCTTCACATTTCCTTATTACTACGTTTTTCATTTTATAACATTTTTAATATTATAAACTTAAATTTGTTGCCTTTTCTGCCAATTTATAATTTTCTTCTAATCTTTACAAACCTACACTGGAGTTTTTATGAAATATTTTACAGCATCTTTCTTTCCTGAACAATATTTCTCTTAATATTAAAATTCAAATTTGGTTATTATATAGAACGTTAATAGTTGTCATTGATTTAAGTGAAGTATTGATTAAAACATGTTTCGACTGTTTACTGATGATTATTTTAGAGTTTCTAATAAAGTGTGGTCCCTTCAAACTCATTAGTGATTGCGAATTTCTTATTTTATTTATATTTTTATTAGTTTATTATTTTACAATAAGGCAAATCGGATAATGCAATTTAAGATATCCGCTGACTACTACAATTATTGTTAGTATTTGAATTTTTACGTTGTTATATTAGTTAATAATAAAAAATGGGGATACTTAATTTGATCTTACAACTACTTAAACATAATTTAGAATTAATCCTTTATTGATTAGTTTTTATGGACAATGAGGTTGAGATGAAAATTTAATGCCACTAGCGGGAGTCAAATTCTTGACACTTTTCACCTCAACTTCACTTTGCATAAAAATAATAAATCATTTACTTAAAATAACTTAACTTTGGTTAAGATGACCAAGAAAGCATATATAAATATTAGTTATGTATATTCAAAATGAATGAATATTGATAGTTTTCATATGTTAATTTGTTTTTACATAGGTCTTTCCAACACTGGCATTATAATTACATGGCAGTTAAAAAATGTTATGATGTCCGTTGTGAATAATTCTACATGTGAACCATTCTAATTTCAGGTTGGAATGGACCACTCTGGACATCACTAATGGCAAAGTTATTAAAACGGTTTCTCTTGTCGTTTCGGCTGAAGGATTGACGGCAGGATTAAAAATACGCAGGGCTTTAAAAGCTTGAATTGCGGCTCCGGCTTTGCCAATAGTTTAACAAGACTGATTCTTTTATTTTATTATTTCTTTTATATACTTGATGTATGGTAATACAATCGCACATATAATAACAGGCCATAATGTTTTACTATTTATGGTTATACTTTGGCTCGGCCTCTTTACGTATGTTCATAGAATTGTTGGTACAATTTTTTTGAAAGCTTTTTGTGCATCTCTTGTAAATATCAGAAATATGTAATGTTGCACAATAAGATTTCTTAAAAGAGCAAAAATATAAAAAAATGTAAAAAGGAAATTAAAACGTAGTAAATGTAAAAAACTTATGGTTGTGATTCATTTTTCTTTAAAGTAAAGGTGAAGTTTCTGACCTGAATCTCATTCAATTTAGTTGTACAATAAATCATACATTTACAATATGTATTAAGCTCATCTCTTGCCTTAATAAACATTTCTATACATTGTTTATAAAAATAAAAACTTAAAGAAACGCTAAGTTTCTTCAAATTTACCTTGATCATGTAAAATATCAAATTAGAAATGAACTTTTATATAAATGAAGCTTCTAACAGTTTTCTCAATCCATTAAAAGCTTCTTACAGCTTTCAGCAATAAGATATTTTATGACAACTGTTTATTTTTATTTCTGAGTTGTTATAAATTTACTACTTTGAGAAAGATATTTTAAAATTAATCGTAAATATAAAAATTGTATAGCTAAAAGTAACATATTCCTCTTCAGCCTGAGTATTTATTAACGACTGTGGGCATTGTTACATTAATGTAATTCGCCGAAGTTTAGTTGACTGATTGTGCTTCATTTCACAAGCGACGTTCTAACTAAAAACCTAAAAGGAATTGACCTTATTTGAATTGTAGATTTACTCCGATTCCAAAATGTAAATTTTGTAAATAAAATTGTATATAAATTAAAATATAAGTCTTGCGATTAAGAATAAAATTTATCAAGGAGTTCATTTATAATTTGAATAAGGATTTGATAAATATTATTATTATTTTTTTTAATTCGACGTCTTCTTTTTTGTGGACAGTGCATCCACTGCAAGGACTTTTATGGTTATTGTTAAAAATGTAACCAGTTATTAAAAATTAGGGGCTTTAGGAAAAAAAAAAAATGGAATTTAAATTCCACAGTAATAATTGTTAATAATTATTATCTACCTCATAGATACATAAAAAGTGTATTATTTTCTTTTTTTTATTAATTAACCAAGGATTAAATATAGTTTCCGAAAAGTGTAAATATTGAGTCTCTGGGAATTGTATTTTAGAAAGTCATTGTTTTACTTTTTTGAGGCCGTCCAGTGTGCTACATCGAATTTGTTAAAATAAGTCTTTGTGTTCCTTTAGTAACAATAATTTGTACCTATACTTAAATGAATATTTATTTTATTGTTTAACATTAAGCGCCGTGTATATGCAGTATGTATATATCTTGTAAATTATGATAGTGTGATTTGGTTTCAGTTTATAATTCTAAATCAAATGTTTAGTAGTTATGAAAAAAAAAAAAACAAAGCGGATGACGTTAATAATAAAACGTTTTTTACTACTAATTATCTACAATTACTGTAGGTTGTCCGAAGTATAAAGTAAACATTTAAAATGTTTCGTTTTTCTTTTTTTAATGCTGGCAGTATTCTTTTTTGTATCGGAGGATGCTGATGAATTTATAACAATCTTTGTTTGGCATTTTGATTATTCTCGTTTAAAGTCAGACATTTGGAAGTCACAATAATAAGACTGCTGAATAAGTAATTGAAGAATTGGCTTGTGATGCATTCTGTTATAAAACAAAGGTTGTTTTTCTTTTGTATTGATAAACTCAAATGAATAAATATAAAATTAATGACATCGAGGGTTTTTAATTGTGTTCCATCATTAGTTTGTGATTAGAAATGATTAGGTATAATTTTGTTCACAATGTACATTTTTTTTATAACATGTTTCCTCCTAATTATATTTTACAAAATTATGTTCAAAAATGTTGCATAAATTAAAAATGTAAATATTTAGATAATAAAGTAGATTGTTAATATGACCATTGATATTTTTATTCTTGCTTAAACAATATAAACTTCTGTTACCTAAGTGAATTTTGTGTTATTGCAAATAATTACAATTGCTTGAGTTTAGACAGAGAACAAAACTGTTTGAATTAATAAAAGAATAATTTACTTTTTTACCAGTTTATGGTAATAAATTTCAATAAGGAAGATAATAATAGCAGCTGATGATCCGAAACAGAGTAAGATGAACGCTCCCTGAACGTGAATGAGTTTGAGTTTTACTGGGTGGTCGAGTTCGTGCCCAGACGACTCTGACAATTTAAGCGCAGTCTGTAAACGTGAAGAGAGATACTTGATAGTGGAATGTGTTTCCCACGTTAGAAAAAGGCCAGCGTCTAAGCATCGGTGTACTAACCAATTAAACTTCTCGGCATACGGAGATCCTATAAATTGGCTGTAATTAATATATAAGACATTTTGTTGTTTATTTCTATGTATTTTTATCGTTTAATTACAATATATTTTAATGTAAACCAAATTAAATGAAATAAAAAATTATGTTTAATCAAAATTATTTAATTACGATGGTTTTAAAGAAACTTTACCAAAATACTGGACAATCATTTAGCAATAGAATGAATTTAATTAACAATTTAATTCCTAGTTTTGCGTGTAATTAAGAGTCAAACTAGCTAAAAAAAAGTTAGTTAAATTTTAATCTATCACTAATTGATTTTCCAATGTTTTGGTGAATTTTCTTTCAAACCGTCGTAATTATATTTTTTAATAAAATTCATAAAATTCTGATCTCGTTTAATTTAGCTTAATTAACATAAATATGTTGTAATTGATATAACAATAAAAATATAGTTTGAAATAAACAACAAACCTGTGTCCGTTTTTTTGTCTTTTGATTATATATTGGAAAATTTTTGTACGTAAAGTACCTTTTCTGAAGATTGTGACAGATGGGCTCGTATACAGTTCTTTCTTCATAACGTGTAGTCCTAAAATCATTTCGCCGCTGAGATGGGCTGTGTGTGTCACATGGCCTACGATTAAAATAATTATAACTGCGTCATTTGACAGTGTGATTAAGTGCTTACCAGCCGCCATTATTTCTATGGCAAAACCGTATCCACCTTTTTTAGAATAAGCGATTAAATTATTAGTTTCATGAGCTTCGAATTGCTTGACCAATCCTTGAAGATAGGGCTGTGTTGCTTGTTGTAAAGAATAGACCCATGCGTCATGATCGGCCATCCAAGTAATTCCTGATTTGTATAATGCTCTCGGCGAATCGATGGGTGGGTAGTAACTATAAAAGTGCTTGTTCAAATGCAGCTCGATAAAAAAGCAAAGAAATTTCTTACACCGGAACTGTTAGGACTGAAGAAAGCGCTCCAGAGTATATTGTCGTAAACAACAGAAAGAGAATTTCAAAAAGTGTAAAGAATCTTTGCAGTACAGAACCTGATATAAGTCTCATGCCCGGAGGCTGGAGAAGAGCCATACCGAACGATCTCATCACAATTCCGCTGAATGTTGCAAATTCCCCTTTACGCCTTTCTTCAATACCCGCTACCAAAAAGAATCAAAGTGAAAAAATTTGAATAGCAGATTGTAAATTAAATAAATTACGAGCTATTTTTTCAGCATTTTTATTGACGGTAAACAATAAAACTGCGGTTATTGCAATGCTGGCAAACTGCACTCCCCACATAGCCGGAGAGAATGCGATTATAGGAATACTCCATTCGGGCAACTGTCTTGGTTTCGGCACTAGGACGGTCACCCTCGATTCAAGATAGGGATAAGAGAAATCCAAATTCTTATATTCATTGTACCACAAATACACCGCTCCACCACCTATGTCAGCCTTTCCCATATAAACATTTCCAACAATACCTAGACGTTTTATACGCTAAGTAATTAAATAAAATTTTAATCGATCATTTTGACTGCAGTTGTAGTACCATTGCCTGATTTGTTTTCCCATAGCTCGCCCCAAAGGTTGTCGTCAGAAACTGGAATCAGAGAACAGTTATAATGCTCGCAAAAAGTCTGAGCGAGCCTCACGTCCATCCCATCGAATTCCGGCGTTAACTGGGCATAAGGTGGATATTGTAGTGTGGCATATTTGATAGCTGGAATATTTTATAAACAGTTCAAATAAATTGTACTATACTTATCATTTTCAAGAAATCTTTAAATATTACTTTTTCCTTTCAAGTCTGAAATCTTATCAGGGAACCAATTAGACGTTAAATTCAATGGCCATACGCCTAAAACAATACTAGCCTCGTGATCGGGGGTGTCTATTGCCTCGTAGAAATTATTGGTAACTATTTCAAATATAATGTCATCTGGAGTAGGTCCATTCTCTGAAACGGCATTGCAATAAAAATAACTGATATTCTAAGAAAATTATCGCACCTAGGACTTGAATGGCCAGCAAGTCTGACAAAAAATTGGCGACTTCAGAATTGAACAGGACATCCGAGTAAGCTCTATCGTCCCAGGGCAGGAACAGCATTTTAGGGTTGTGCCTTCTCAAATGGTTCGACTGCGTCAATTCCCACTTGTTTAAAAATTCCTCTGGGCTTGATGTCTGCACAATATACCTAGAAGTACCAAAAAGAAAATCGGCATTTGAACAGGAATTTAATTTTTATAATTTAGCACCCTTGACAGTTGTAATCAAATGAATATTTTAGTATTTCCTGGACAGAATCTGCTGAAGCTACGATGACATGGGGTGAGAACATCGACGGATTCCATTCATACGGACTTCCTCGGTTTGTTACCCAAACCAGACAGTTCACACCATCCATGTATTGAGACGTCACCTCGTACACAAGCTGGTCTAAAGCGACAGAAACAGGTTCTTCCATGTGTGGAATAATTTGACCTTTGACTATCATTAAACTCATTGCTGTAATCTAAAATAATTTTACTAAATGAAATCATTTCTGTTTTGTTTTAACAAAGCAATTTGTTTCATGATTCTGCACATATTTCAACTTGATCATCTCCAATCACCCCAATTAATAAACTTAATTTACTTAGCTTAAATTCACAAGCTTAGTCAAATTAACTCGAACTAATGAATTTAACTGAAAATGTCAAAATATCGAAACAGTCTTGACAGACACAACTACTGAGAATAATAATAGAGATAAGGGTTCGGGTTCAAATTTCAGCGGCCCTAAATTTACAACAAACCCAAGGTTTTTTCTTCCTTTTCAGACAACACAGAAAAAAAGACACGAACGAATTACCATGATCAAGCTGCAAGGTTCATCATCTTGCAGACAATTCACAATTTAGCAATAGGATTGAAGTTATTACAGACAAAGCCATCAACAAAAAAAAAAAAAAAAAAAAAAATTACCATGAAAAAACAACTCCCAGTAACATCCATGATCAGTGTGCGACTTTAAACCAATGGCAATTCTTATAAAGACCTTCTTAGTATTTGCTAAGCTATCATTCAGAATTTTTAATAGCTTCTTCAAAACATTGTCTATTGGTAAATGTCATGTCTTGTCAGTTTGGGCCTGTTTGGATATCATTAATAAGCTCAAGGCTGCTTTAATGGCATCTTTCTGTCCGATTGTTTTCCCTGAGCCATTGACTTTTCTTGTTAAACTGGCCTTGTCAAAAATGACAGCAAATATTGTTTGCTTGTATCAATGACAGGCTGAGAAGCTTTCATAAAACATTATTTTCTGTATTTTTCTGTAAAGAAAAATTATTCTTTCCTTCGTTTTTTCTTTTTATAGATTGCTTAATTTTTCTTTTGTAGGCCTTTTACACGAATGTTTTTTTAAATAAAATTCATTATTACAATGTTTCAGCAATCTTGTGCCATTTTCAAATACATATAAATAAACTATGTATATATACATACTTCAAAATAGCACCAAATTTTATTTAAAAACACCTTAACAAAAAAACTCAAACAATCTATGCTGATATATTTTTCTGTCTTCTGTTAACTGCTTTAATGAGTAAATGGATGAAGTCTCTTAAAATTATATCTATGCTGAAACAGCATAATTTTATACCATGTACCAGAAGTTTTTGGTGTTTGGTAATTTTCCATGATTTTTATTAACCCTACAGTGGGTGTATAGTGGTAATGTGTACTACATTTTCGTTTTTGTTGTATTTTTATTTTTTGTTCTCTGCCTTTTCAAGAACTGGAGGCAGCAAGTGCCATTTTTATTTTATTTATCTCATTAGCTAGGGAGTTAAAGAAAAAAAGTTTTCGAAACTGCGTACTGTTTTTGCATCCTAATGTAAGTTTAATAATTTGTATTATTTTGGGTTAGGTGATCATATTTTAATCTTTCTTTTGTAATAGCTATGATTTTAGTTTTTAACTGTTTAGGTAATTTCATAAGACAAATCTAACAAAATCTTGAAAGTTCTCTAAACAACTCTCGGGTGAATTTGGTGAAGATTTAGTAGATTTTACAGATGATAGTAAAAGCAGAAGAAATAATACAAGATGTACATGACAGTGAACAATCTGCCACTGAAATGTAATAAAAGATGACGATGATGAAGACATGCATGTAGAAAATGCCGGCACTGATTGTGTATTTTTCATCAGAAAAGTTACATTATAGATAAATAATCTCACTGCCTTGCCCCCATAAAACTCAAGAAAAAATTATAAAACTTTACAAGGTTCCTCCAGAGTTATGCTGGTTTAACATATCGAATTTAATTTGTATTTTTTCCTATATCACTACAGTGCTGATTTTTTTATTTATTTGTTCAAATGGGTGAATGCCAAAAATGCAATATACAACAATTGTCCATGTGAAAGAACAATAACTTAAATTATACATTCAAGAAGGAAAATTAATTGAGAAAGTAAATTGCACAATTGTAAAAGATTAAATAAAAAATAATTATTAAAAACCTATTTATGGAGTATAAAAATAAACAAACATGTTATTATAATTATATAATAAGCAATCAGAACAAAGAGTGTGAACTGTAAATGGCTGTCTGTGAATCTGAGTCGGAAACGAGGATTGTCCTTACCTGATTAAGAATAGGTCGTACGAGGTTGACACAGGGGTCCCGCTCCTGGGCGAAAGCCCGTGCAGGTGCCCTTTATGCAGAGAAAAGTTGTTCGATGTGTCCGACATAATATAAGCTTGTGCCTTGGCTCCATACAATCCTACAATGGCTCCAAAATTGTCTATTTGTTAAATAAATTCATATATCACGACTGGAAATGAAAAAATATATAAAATAATTCTTTTTAAAACAAAATTTTATGAATTTAATCAATATATCAAATGATACAAAATAATTTTGTGATCTCAGTGGAATTTTTCAGATAAACAATAAAACATAAAAGTATATTCTTTCTTATCAAATAAAAATCAATCTATCAGTTAATAATTAATTACAAATTTTTAATAAAGCCATATAAACAAAAGGAGAAGACAAAAAAAAGATTCACCCTAGGGGGCTTGAAATGATTTTTTTAAACAATTAATTTTACTAAATTTAAAATTGAAATATAGCCCTTTCTCAACCATTGGTTTCAGCCTGACTGTCGACGTCTACTTTTGTTTTCTTGAATCTTTTGCATTTTTTTAAGTTTAGCCCATCTATCAGGGCACCTTATTGGCCTGATGTATTATTGTTTTTATACTTTGTTTATATTTTCAAATTCATAATGGCCCGTTAAATGTGAACATTACCTATATATGTACATATTTTATATTGAATTTCACATGTAAATCCGGTCCTTAATTATTAACAATAAAATGTTGCTATTATAACTTATTTTTGAAGCCCTGTTGTCATGATTTTACAGAATGAGTAAAGAAAAATGCAGAACTAAGTACTCCATGTGCCCACTTCTGTACTTTTTAAATACGTGCCTGTTCTGGGGTTAAAGGCAAATAATTAGTCTTGTTTAATTATTTTTGGCTTTTATACAATGTATGGTATCGTTTTTCACCCAATAAAAACACATAGTTTTCAAAAGTTCAAATTTGAAAGAAAGGGTGGTCATCCACCAAAAAAAGAAAAATGAGGCAATTGATATAAGAGCAAGCCAAGGAGAAATAGACTGGTTCCGAAGCACAACTGGAAAGGAGGCAATACTTGGGAAAAATGACAAGGGCATCATGGCAAGAAAGATGGACAAACAGCAATAAAGGTCGGCTGATATCCAAATTTTTCCCCAGCGTTGAAAGGAGACAAAAAGCAAAATGGCTACACCCCGACTACTGGACCACCCAAATGCTATCTGGACGTGGAAACTTCGCAAGCTATCTTCATAAATATAAGAAAAGAGAAAGCCCTTTATGCTCCATTTTCAGCACCGAAGAAGACGCCAAACATAAACTCTTCAGCTGTACCAAATTCAATGCAGAAAGAGAACGTTTGCGAAAGACCATCCCCTCAGCAGAATGGCCGCCTAATCTCCATAAACTAGTCTGTGATATCAAATCATTTGCAGCACTAAAATTCTTTGTCTCAACTACGCTTAAATGAACAAGTCCCTATTTATTTTAATTACTAAATATTGTTGTTATTAGAGTTTTATTACCATTATTTGTTTATTTATTGCATAATTAAACATAGGTTTAGATTTAGGGTTCTGGGCTGTTAGTAACAAAATTTTAGATAATATAAATATATATAAAATAAAATCAAGAAAAAGTAAATGTGCAAGGGGAAACCAGCAAGGGAAGACCTTTTGTTTTAGGTTTTAAAATGAAAATATGGTCCCTTCGAAAACCAACCAGCGGTCTCGCCTGAAGGAAATATCGTTGGGAGGTAATTTTATCCCATTTATTTGAAATCCCTTAGATATACAAGTTCGATTAAGCTAAAGCGTTTGTCTGCCGGTATGGGGTCTTCATCAGGTACGGCGGGGTGGTGGAAAGGGTTTATAAAAAAAAAGTTTTTAAAAGTTCCTGTTTTACCTAATGGTTTATGGTGAAAGGTATATTTAAAATAAAATGTCAATTAAATTACGCAAAAGCATATTTATTTGAACAATTTCCTCAATTGTATCTTGTTTTAATATTATTACCATGTATTAGGATATCCTAATATTGTTATGATAGGGGTAGAGAAGAATCCAGTTATTGCTGATGTAAAGATCATTTCAGTGCATTTTTCTTAAAATTGATTGTGACGCAAAAATATATTTTTCTTGCTTTTCTTCTTTGGTATGAATGCAAATGATTAATCTTCAATAATAATTCAATGTTTGAATTATTCTGAAGTCATTGTAGTTTGTATTTAACACTTATTTTCCAGTTCCAAAGTGAAGAATTTTTCGTACCATTTTTGGACCACTCCAGTACCCTCTGAAATAAATAAGGCACAAATGGAATCTCTATACATTTAAATTTCAATTAACAAAATGACATTGAAAAACAATTACTTAAGCATCGCATGCCAGTACAGCAGTGGCATTATATCTTTCTTCATGAAGTACATAGAACGATGTTCATTTCTCTGATCGATCGGAAAGGTTTCAAGGGGTTGGAGATTGTAATCGAACTCTGCCATTATACAATTCTGGTATCCCGTGACCAGAGGGCAAGATGTGTATCCGTCGTAGGTAGCTTTTGGAGTTTTGTCCCCTTTCATGTCTGCCAACAGGTTTTCGAAGAGAACACCAGACTGGGCAGCTGATAAAATAATATTTTCAATCGTCCAAATCGTAAACTTCATTTATAATTACCAACAGCTGCTGCGGTTTTGGAAGTAGGAAGATTTGTGCAGTCCCCTATACCGTATATATTTTTATACTCTATGTGTTGTAAAGTGGCCTTGTTTACATTTAAGAAGCCGTTGCTGTCAACGAGTTTTAGGCCTGTTTTTAAGACATTGGGGGCTGACATCGGAGGGGTCACGTGTAACATGGCATACTGAAATAAAAATCCAAAATAAACACAAACAGCTTATAATACCAAATTTTTACTGATCTCACTTTAATTGTTTCAGTTTCAGCAGGTCTCTCAATGTTTCTAAATATCGCCTCTTTTGATAAAGTTTTCACTTTAACGAGTTCCTTTTTAAGGCCGACATCAATATCACGTTGCTCACAGAGTTCTAAGAGTTTGCTGGCATAATGTTTAGCAGAGAAAATTGTAGGTAGAGAAGTTCTATAAATCACTTTAATATTATCCCTTTTGTTTTCCTAAATCAAAATCAAAATTCAATTCAGTCCACTTAAAGAAGCAATTAAAAAAAATTCACCTTTCTGAAATAATCTTCAGAGATTAAGCATGCTTTCAAAGGTGCACCTGCGCACTTAACAGGCGTATTCGGAAAGCTGAATACCGCTTGGCCTTTTTTGATTTTTTGCAACGATTTAAACGTTTTGTTAACATACTTGGGCGAATAGTTCGAACAGACTTGGCTGTTGTTTTCTTCCAAACCTTCGACGAGACCTGGAATCTGTTACTAATCTCGTTTAGAGCCGAGTCGCAAAGCCTCAAGCCACTGCGAGCTTACCTTGTTGAAATTCATATCGATCCCAAGTGCAATGACAAGATATTCATACGAAATTTCTGTCCCATTTTCTGTTCTGACTGTGTTCGTACCGGGCTCAATGTACACAACTCTATCGTTGACCCAAATCGCTCCTTTCGGCAGTACATCCTTCATCTGACGCTTTGCATCGTCCAATTTCTTTATTCCTCCCCCTATCAAAGTTAGCATAGGTTGATAATAGTGTTCCTATTAAAAAAACAAAAAACAAAAACAAAACAAATTTTTTATGTATATGTGTACTAAGCTTAAAATTAGACATATTCCGACAAGCAGATAGCAAATACACACATATTCTTTTGTTTTATAAATATATTATTTTTACAATATTGTCTTTGCCAAAAGATTTGTTTATATGTTTGTAAATTTTAAGTTATCCTTAAAAATTAAAATGTAAGATAAAGAAGCATGCTGATGTTTAATTAACTCAATAAAATACAAAATTCAAATAAAATTATTCTCTTTATGTAAGGTCTTGGTTAAGATAAAAGAGTCAGTGTCACGAGCAGGATTCGAACCCATGAGCTTTGACTAAATATACCGCTGCTCTACCACCTGAGCTATTGTGTCTTCGATCCTCTCAGACCAACTCGCCATCTCAACCTACAACCGTTCGAATTATCCCTCTCTTTAGCCATTTTCAAAACTTTTTTATCTCAACCGAGACCTTACATAAAGAGAATAATTAATTGAAAGAAGTAACTTGGTCAATTGACCACTAAAACGTAAAATGAATTCAAATAAAAGTTCATCACTGCTAAGAAAACATTAAAACTCATCCAAACGATGTAAAATTATTACTTGTATCTGTTACATCGTTAAAATATTTAATGCTTAAATCATTAAAAAATATTATTTGAAACAGAAAATAATTGAATTTGAAAAATTAAATTGCAAGAAATTGTCTCAATGTTATTAAGACTATTACATACATAACCAACCTGTGACTTTGAAGGCAATATTATCAATAAAAAACTTTGTAAGCTTTTACAATGATTTTTTTTTTTTGAAAAGTAAAAAAGTTGGAAAAGCTTATGAAGTTTTATAATGATGAGAAATATCCAACAAAACGAGAAGCGAGTTGCGTGTAAATAAAAATTTACTTCGTATTTGTTCTATTTTAATGTGACAGCTAATTGGAAAAACTTTTTAACGTTGCATTCAACACAAAATATTTACAAAAAATACAGTAATAATTATTTTCTGGTTGAGGTCGTTTTTGATGAACTATTATTAAGTCATTAGCAGACCCAAATTCTTGGTCAAATAGCCTCAATGAAGGTCATGAATATGATTTAACAACTTTCATTGAAATAAACCAAATAGGGGGAAAATGGGCCTTTCTATACACTTCGTAAGGTAAAATATTTCTATGGTTGTTTGTATTATTATTAAAAAAGCAGTTTTCCTGGTTAAAAAAAATTATTTAAAACATATCAAAGGTTTTGCTTGTTTTTTCAAGTAGATGTAATATGTTTTTTCCTTTTTACTAAAGTACTTTGGTTGCATGTTAATCCATATAATAAGGAAAAGATCGCAAAAGTGTGATTGATTATTGACAAACTTAAATAAAGATAAAAAAACGTGAATCACGGAAATCTACAATATGAATCACTCCACCAACAGGATAATCGTGTCTGAAAATTAAACTTATTTATTGCTAAAAGTTTGAATTTTTTGCACTTGAATTATTATGCTTAGTTACATTCAAGATACAATTTACCATATCTTTTATGTAATGGAATAGTTTTCAAAATACTGTATACACTTATTAAATAGTGTGTGTTAAATATGTTGTAAAAAATTCCATACATTTTTATACAAACCAGATTTGTTTTATATTTTATCTAGTTTAATATATGCCTGTCCTTTTGGACTGAGTTTTGGTTGTCAGAGAGAATATTCAAAGAATCTCATGTATAAAAATATCTTTTTATTAAACAAAATGCATCAGCAAATAAGCATTCCATATGGTGATATAAGTTTTGCAGTAAAATAAATTCAGAATTATTTATTATAATATATAAAACATTATTACATAATGTTAGGTCTTACTTATTATTATTTATTAAATTTTAATAAAGTATGTCCACCTGGTAAAGACAAGGTTTTCTCTACAATCAGCAGAGAAGCTCATGTATCAAGCGTACTGTGGATAGGTGGCCCTTTGAGGGCCTGACTCGTAGAAGGTCATCCTTACCCGATTAAGATCACACTTTTGTGATCTTTTCCTTATTATATGGATTAACAAGCAATGAGAGCACTTTTGTAAAAAGGAAAAAAATGGATTGCATCTACTTGAAAAAACAAGCAAAACCTTTGATATGTTTTAAATAATTTTTTTTTTAAACCAGGAAAACTGCACTTTTAATAATAATACAAACAACCACAGAATATATTTTACCTTACGGAGAGTATAGAAAGACCCATTTTTCCCCCTATTTGGTTTATTTCAATGAAAGTTGTTAAAGCCGTGCAAGGTTGACACACGGACACTTTGGAAAAATATGCTTAAAAGGATGCTTGATGATTCCTACCTAATATAAGGGTGCATTCCTTAGTTCAAAATAGGAAGTACATTAGAAGAATGCCACCCGATATGAAAATCTGGATCCCCTGTTTTGCTTTTTACAGTAAACAGGATTGTTTTATTGTAATAATAATACTTCATTAAGATTGAAAAATACAGCAAATGGTATGCAATAAGCATGGCTAGTTTGTTGAGTATTGTATAATAAAGCTTGTAACAAAAGAAAACAAATGAGGAAAATATAAGGGATAAAAATATAAAGCAGAAGTGTGAATGTAATAGAGAAGGAAATGTTGAAAAAGAGTAAGAATTAAATGAACACTAACTTCTGCAAAAAAAAAAAAAAAAAAAAAAAAAAAAAAAAAAAAAAAAAAAAAAAAAAAAAAAAAAAAAAAACACCACTTGCACGCCTGAAGGTTAAGACCTTAGTTGCTGCAGTCCGTATAATTTATGATTATAAGAAGATTTATTAAAACATGGAATTGCAATTTGCCCAACAAAAGTTTTGATAAGAACAACTGTTTTAGTGTATATATAATACTTCACAGATATCTAATTTTGTGTTTCTTTGTGTGTACTGAGACTGAATGTATTTATTAGCGTGAATGTGTAGTGTAAGAGAGCCAATGGTGGAGTATTGTTACATAGGTATATACCTAGTTATATTAGGTGTAAAGGGCGATGGAGAACATCAAATACTCACCAACCTGAGTGAATGGTACGTAAATGGGAAAGAATATATTGAAGAATTGAGAATTTAGAGAGTCGAATTGGTTAGAGCAGTGGTGTATTGAGCCGAAGGTCATGTGTTTGAATCCCACTCGTGACACTAACTTTTTCATCTCAACCAAGACCTTAGATAAAAGAATAATTAATATGGTCAATTATGGCCACTAAACATGTATGGATTAATGTATTTATTAGCGTGAATGTGTGGTGCAAGAGAGCTGATGGTGGAATATTGAGTATCCCATCGGCCCTCAATTAAATTTGTTAAATGTGTAGTAATCAGTAAAGAAAAAAGTATTTTAGTAATTTTAAAAAGTATTAATATAAATTAGTTTATTCCAAATTGAAAAAGTTTATTCCACATAGGAATTTTTGTACATACATCGACAGGTATGAACATATGCACTACATTGAAACCAACGAGAAAAATAATTAGGGACCTAAAAAGATAAAATTTATAAAAAATATAAACTCCACAGTTAGAAGTAGACAGTGATAAATAAGAAAAATTCATCGTTATTTTAGTTTTCTTAAGGAAAACTGATATAGTAGGCTGATTGGTCTGGTATAGCAACTTAGGAAATTTTGTTGTAGAGGGTCCATCTGGTTTTTGGTAATGTTACATTGATGCTTCGATCCACTATTAGATCATAGTCTATGATTTTATCTTTCAAATTTTGAGCTAGTTGAAAGATTTTTCAAATTTTTTCTATAAATTCATCACTAATTTTGTGGTCTGCTTGACCAATTAATATATTACAATTGATTAAGGTTTTTAGTTGAGATAAAAAAGTCAATGGCACGAGCGGGATTTGAACCCATGATCTTCGGCTAGATACACCGCTGCTCTACCACTTGAGCTATTGTGACCTCAATCCACTCAGACACTAATTTTTTATCTCAACCCCACCTTTTGAAATGGTACATTTGAAAAATGGCAAAAAGGAGGGAAAATTCAAAAGGTGGGGTTGATATAGGAAGTTGATGTCCGAGTGGATCGAGGTCACGATAGCTCAAGTGGTAGAGCAGCAGCGTATCTAGCCGAAGATCGTGGGTTCGAATCCTGCTTGTGCCATTGACTTTTTTATCTCAACTAAAAACCTTAATTAATTTTTTCTATAGTTAATTCCTGTTATACTTTGTATTCTTTTTCATCTTCTTCTGTGGACGATTTGATGAGTTCTTTCAATTCTTCATTAATGAGTTTTAATCTGTGGATAACGAGAGTCTACTGTATTCTTCTGTTTTATTTTTTTAAATTTTTGTATAATGTATTTTTTTTAAACCTTTTTTTTAAACTTAAATGACTCTCTTTGTAAAATTCTGCGACATTAAATAAAACCACATTTATTCATTCTCTCTCTCAATAATTCAATTACACTTTTAAATAAATTCTTGCAAAAAAACATGTTATAATTAAAAATATTTATATGTATTAAAAATAAGTAAAAACATTTATTTTATAAAACAGATTTACAACAATTTTTAGTCAAGTTGTTTATAATTTACAGTTATAATTTAAGAAATTGTTAATTAAAAATTAAAGTGTTTCAGCTTATCTTAGTGTTATTGAAATAAAAACAACAAATCTTACCAACGTCGGTTCAACAATGATAACTTTATCCTTGCCGAGCTTACATGCAAATTTTGAAGCAACTGTGCATCCTCCAGTACCACCACCAAGAACCAAAAGTTTGCAGCTAGAATCAAGTACTGCGATGTGATCACTTGTCGCGTTTAATTTTACCATCGAATCCCATACCTTTTTCTGTTGCCTCCACCGCAGGTCAAAGATCTGCATGACGGACGAATCAGTATTGACGAAGAACGAAGGGCAAAGCTCAGTGCAATCATTGTTGTAAGAAGTATTAAGAATTAATGCATACGATCGTGATGAAAAGTTGTGTGTGTAAACAAGAACAGACCTAACATCATCAGCTGATAACAACTGAATAGTGATTACTAAAGAAATGGGCACTTGTCCTTGACTACTCCAACCTCTCGAGTAGGGATGGATAATCAGAGGTGGGGAATGATATTTTAACTTTTTTCCTTGAGGTTGAAGCTTCCTAATCCACTCAATAGTCAGTAGATCAAAAAATACAAATTCTATAATTACCATCCGAAGCTAAACAAATAAGAAATAAAGATTTATCCTCTGATTTTTAAAAATCCTCTGTTATTAATTTCTCTTCAATGTAAAATATTTTAGACTTCAAAATTTTATTCTTATAAAGAATGCTGAAAAAACAATAAGGAGATATGTTAACATAAAGAGTTTAGTATTAGGAAAATTAGAAGAATAAAAGAGTTCAACAATTATTTATTAATTAAACATGTACTGATTTCAATAATGAAAGCATATCTGTATCTATGTAACATATATCTATCAGAATCAGATTGATTCAGGAGTAAATGTGTCTTCCTTGGTACTTGCTCTCTGTTTTTTTGTAATCTGGTGGCAGTGACGGTATAGGGTCGTCGAGAACTTGGACTTCTTTCTGAGGTTTGGGACGTGAAGAATCGTGAATTCTGGCCTCGCAGAAATAACCGAAGTGCGGCCTCTCGATGTTCAATTTGTCCAGCATGCATTTATCGTAGACACCTTGGGTTTTGCGGCATCTAGAGGGAAAAACACATTTTTTCGTTTTACTCAACAAGGCTGAGACAAAGATATATATTCATGGAAATTTTAAATTGATTTGTTTTACTTTTAATTGATTTATTATTTTTATACAAAGTATGGCTAAGATGTAAAATTAGCGTCATGAGCGGGACCTAAACCCACGATATCTAAATTAGTATTTCAGTGCTCTACCGCTTTGGCCCTCAAGACTCCCCATCTCAACCAACTTTTTTAAATTTCACCTATTTTCGGCACTATTCAAGTATTGTGTATTCATATGGATTCTCAGTAATGTACAAATTAGCCACTGGGAGCTGTTAGTGAAGAGCGGGTCCTTCAGTAATTATGTAATATATATGCTTTAGTTGATCCTCTTATCCAAAGTAATTAGTTTTACTGGATTTATTATTTTAATTATGTTTAATGGTCTAATTGACCATAATAATTATTTCAATTAATTATTCTTTTTATTTAAGTAAGATCTTGGTGGAGATGAAAAAAAAAGAAGACAAAATGAGGCAAAATGCGAAAGGTTGTAGGTTGAGATAGGAAGTTGGTGTCGAATGATAGCTCAAGTGGTTAGAGCAGCGGCATATTGAGCCGAAGGTTGTGGGTTCAAATCCTGCTTGTAACGCTAACTTTTTCATCTCAACCAAGACCTTATATAAAAAGGATTTATTATTTTTATGCAAAGTGTGGTTGAGATAAAAAAAATGTCACAACAGCTCAAGTGGTAGAGCACGGGGGTACTGATCTGGATGGCATGACTAACTTTTTTAGTCCTAGTTATTATGGAAAATAAACAAATAAATACAAGCATATGATGTTTTTGTGTCTTTGTGTGTATAAAAACTTGTGTGGATAAAATTCATCCGTTTCATTTCCAAGGTTCTCCCACATTTTTGCATATAAGGGACTTTTAGTTTATTTTCTAGACATGGTTACTGCCCATCAAATTACTGGATTATCATACCTTAGACCTCCATACAGTGTTTTACAATTGAGTTTTAGTTTGACATTTTGTCTTCTAATTTTTCTTTCAATAGAAAATACTTATTTTGGTTAACTTTCATTCTTCCTGGTCAAAAAAAACACGATTCCTGCCATACAGAAGTACCTGTTGAGTGTTGCAGAGAGGAGATCAGAACTTAGAAAAATAATTGACTATGGATATCACGATAGGGATAGGGATAAAAGAGGTGGCCACAAGGCCTTCGGCACTCGACCTGAGTAGATCTATTGTGTTCCCCTGTTTTTTATAACTCACTGGCCAACTTCAGGTTGTTAATCAATCTCTATAGCCTTCTTTAGTGTAGTATCGTGATTGTGGTTTTTTCTGACCTAGTTGCATGATTCAGCATCTGTTCTATGATCTCCTCCTCTTTCTGGCAGTATCTGCACAGTGTTTCTTGTCTGTACTCCTATCCAGAGCATGTGCTTTCTTTTTGGTAGTGTCCTGTCAGGAGTTCAACCGGAATCTGGTTCAGTTGTGGTTGCCTTTCACAAATTCCTTTGAAAGTTTCCTATGAATCTCTTCCGTGTACCTCATGCCTTTGGTATTGTTCCACCAGGTTTTGAACTCATTAAGGAATCCATTTAAGATGTATCCTCTTTTGTGGCAGGATGCCTAGGCACAGGAGGGTTCAAGGACTTAGAGTCCATGTTGGCCCCCTCTCTGTGCCTCTATGCCCCAAGTACCCAGGGACCCATGCCAGAGTCAGGTCATTAGTATGTCAACTTGTGCCAGAGCCCCCACCTGCTTTGCCTTCACCACGCATAAGGCTAGGACTTTTAGTGGAGCCTGACTGTCAGAGAAGACGGCTATCTTCCGGGAATATATTCCTAGACTTTTAGCACAAGGAACTGAAGGGGTTCTCTGCAGTTTTCAGCTTCTTGTTCTCCTTTTTGGTTTCATTTGGGGAACTTGCAACAAATTGAGCTCCATGTGTGCCTTTGTTCTTCTATTAAAGAAAGTCATTTTCAAAAGGGGTCAGGAGTGAATTCAGGGTCTCTGGGACCCAATCCAGCCAGACCTTTCATTGATGAATGTAATGTCAAATTTCATCCTTTTCACCAACCATTTCCCTTATGCGTCAAACAATCCTGAGGAGACGGGAATCGAACCCAAGATCGTGTGATCTACTAGCTGAGAGTCTGATGCTTTAACCACCATGGTTAGCTCACTTTAAAATACTTTTTTCTTCTTCAACTTATACTCAAATAAATGTTCCAAGATGCTGGGATTCAAACCCAGAATTGCTAGCGTGATAAATACGAGTCAGACGCCTTAACCTCAGTGCCAGGAAGAATCCTATAACAGCTACTGCAATTTTAAGACTTCAAACTTACACTGTTAGTTATTTAGAACATTCACTTGTTATAAAATTATTAATAATTGAATATGATAATTTTCTTACGGTGCAAAGTCAAAGCTGGTGCTAGACTTGTCAATACACTCCGTATAGATCTCGAACTCTTGCCTACAGGCTTGTTTCATTTTCTGGAAGAAGCCCAGGGAGCAGGCGGTGACCTCTTTGCCTTCCTGAATACACTGCCTGGGATCCTGCGGGTATTCGCTCCTGCAGAGCATGAACTCCTGCAAAGTCGAAGGTGGAAAGTAAAAAACAAAAACCAAACAAAAAGACAGGATTATGAAGTGAAAAGATTGGATTTTCAGCTCTCCTAGAAGGTCAACTTGCATTGTTAACATTTTCGCAGTATTTCCCAAGGTGGAACGCAGCCGCACGAAGTACCGCAGAGCTTAAATTAACTTCTGGCACCGTCAGTTCTTCTTCAGTGGGTAAGTCCACTTTATAGCTCACTACCATCTTCCTTAGAATTCTTCAAAGATATTTAAGACAGAACTGAGAAAATGAAGGTTATCTTCGATTTCGGGTTATCCTTCATGTCAGACTTTTTTTGAATCCAGAATCATTTAATTCTTGATATTATTATTATTGTTTATTATTATTATTTTGAATTTTTTGAATCTTATTTTGAATAATTTTGTTAATATTGTCTATATAACAAGATCATTGAATTCATACTAGATATATTCTGCATTGCTTACTTATATTAGATAAATATAAGTTATATAATATTATTATATTAGTTTCTCTTCTTTGATTGAACTCTTTACAGTTGCTTCATATAGTCTTAGAAGTTTTTGCAATATATAATTTTATTTTAATATACAGGGTGTCCCAGTTCCTTCTGACGAAATTAGGAAATCAATTCTACTCTTCGTTTGGAGCAAAAAATGCGCAGGAGAAAATTTTTGGAAAGTTCTCTACTTTGAAGATATTCGTCAATTTAGGGTTTTTCAACTTTTCACTACCTTACCATATAAAAACGCTTACAACTTCCAAAATGTTGAGACTTCAACCAATTCGATTATAGCATTTGAAAGAACGCTAAATTTGCTGTAAGATACTTCTATTTGCAATAATCTGAATGACATAAAATGTTAGCCAATATCAGTTGGAACATGTCAAAATTACAAAATTTAAAATTTTGGTCATGATTGCACGTTCTACTGAGGTTACAAAAAAATACCTACAACTTGTCAAATTTCACAAAAACTTTTTCATCTAATATGCTTTACGTTGATATATCCAGGTTTTTAAATAATGTTCTAGTAGAGTTGAAAAATCAACGTAAAGCATATTAGATGAAGAAGTTTTTGTGAAATTTGACAAGTTGTAGGTATTTTTTTACCGTTAACCCCAGTAGAACGTGCAATCATGACCAAAATTTTAAATTTTGTAATTTTGACATGTTCCAACTGATATTGGCTAACATTTTATGTCATTCAGATTATTGCAAATAGAAGTATCTTACAGCAAATTTAGTGTTCTTTCAAATGGGGTAATTGGATTTGTTGTAGTCTCAACATTTTGGAAGTTGTAAGCGTTTTTATATGGTAAGGTAGTGAAAAGTTGAAAAAACATAAATTGACGAATATCTTCAAAATAGAGAACTTACCGAAAATTTTCTCCTGAGCATTTTTTGCTCCAAACAAAGAGTAGAATCGATTCCCTGAGTTTTGTCAGGAGGAACTGGGACACCCTATATATCCTCTCACTGAAAACTATTTTTATCAACCTCTTTTAAAATTTTCTAAAGGTAGATCTGTTGCTTCCTTATTCTTCTTTTGTACTGGCAGATCAACATACTAATTTGCTAATATATCAAAATTACATTTTGGACGCTATAACCGATGGTTGTCAGGTATATTCTGTATATGTAGATTATTCCAAGGTCTTTGACAAAATTGGTCATAACATACTTATTAAGATAGAATATCTGGAAATGTACAGCTTTGGCTGCACAGTTATTTATCTGAACGCACCCAAATAGTTAAAATCAAGTCTTTTAGATCTCTTCCCTTTTCTGTTTTGTCTGGTGTGCCACAAGGCTACCACCTTGGTCTTTTTTTCTTTCTCCTCTTCATTAATGATATTTACCTTCCTCTATCTGATACCGAGTTTCATCTATTCGCTGATGATCTAAAAATATATAAAAAAAATATTCTGCCTTAGATCACATTAATTTACAAAACGCTCTCAATTATATTTCCGACTGGTGTCAAACTAACAAACTATACTTAAATAATTCTAAATGATTTACTATCACTTTTTTTTTTAAACAAAAAATTTCCTATTTTCCACTCTTATACCATTAATCTCAGCTACTTAACCAGAGTAACTTGTATTAGAAATCTTAGCGACTTTGATAGTAAACCTACCTTTAAGATACATTTAGAAGAAATCAAAAATTGTTCCTTTAAAATGTTTGGTTTCATCATCCGAAGTATTTTAAAAATCTATATAATTCACTTGTTTGAACTATTCTTGAATATGCCTCAATAATCTGGAATCTGCACTACTACACTGATATAAAACTAATTCTCACTGATTAATATCAGTTTCTTCATACATTATATTTCAAATAAAACTGTTGCAATGATAAATCCTCTCATGCTCCCATTAAATCTTAGTTCAATCTTTCTGATCGTAGATGCAGAAGAAAGTATTTTGAGATTGTTATTTTCAAATTAATTAATAATTGTTTTAGATTCTCTGGAAATCCTTGGTAAACTCCAATTTTATGTACCTCTTTGCCACATCAGAAATCAGAAAATAGTTTTTATTGAATATAAAGGAACACATTTTTCACTATACTCCCCAATGCACAGCATGATGATAGAATGTAACAACATATGCAATACCATTGATTTATTTAATACTTCTGTTTCCTCATTAAAACAACAGTTACTTAAAGCATAATAATTTTATTTAGTTAAAAAAAGCTAAAAATGTATGCTTATAATGCTTTTATGTTATTTTTTTAATGATTCCTAGTCGTTATAATTATATAGAGAGGATGTTTAATTAAATCTTTATGTTTTTTATTTATAAAGATTTAATTGTCTTTTTCATTGATGTGTATTATAAAAAAAAAAGAGTTTTATTCTTTATTAATGTTGAGTTAGTTATAAGCATTGTATTGTAGATTTTTTTTCTCCTTACTTTTGTATACTTAAACAAATTTTTCTTTTCTTTTTTAAGAAATGGGTTTTTAACCCATAAAAATAAATAAATAAAATAATTTAAAAAAAATATATGGATTATTTATTATTAACTACTGTCCTGGGGGACCGCAGCAGTTGAGTGGCAAGTTTGTCAGACTTTCAGCTCATAGACACTGCAGTCATCGGTTCAGTTCTCACCATCGCCTCTAGAATTTCTGACTAGTTCCCATGGAGAATATACATATTTATATGTGTATGATATGAATTGGTTCACAGCTCTTGTTGTCTAAATGAAAAAAAAAAAAATAAATAAAAAATAAACATATGTTTAAAATTCAGGCAAAATATAACAATTAGTCAATTAATCTTTATTGCTTGAACAGTGCTCTTAACATTAGTATTTCTTTATAGGTTGCTCGATTTGGAGAAAGATCTAAGAGAAAAATCTGTGCTTTTTTATTTGCGATTACTTTCTGAAATCTGAAATCGAAGTTTCAATGCATATCCAAAGTGGAAGAATAAAATCCAAGAATGAAACCAGTTTTTGGGAGCGTCATTTTCCAAAAATATTATTCGTCTTGACACTCTTAGCATCGTCTTTTGTCCTGGTTTACTTTGTGTTTTTCAACACAGCTGAGACCAATCCGTGTGAAAACGCCTTAAATGTTTAGTGAAAAACCGATTTTAGTGATGGATTTATAAACGTTGCAGATCGTCTTCATTCTTCTCGTGAATTAAAAGTGTTAAAAGGAAGTTACATATTGAATACAATAATATATGTATGGTTAAACAATTAAACTAAAGTTATTTACTTAATTTGGCATTTCTTTAAAAAAAATTAGATAAATTAAATCAACACTGCAACTAGCACATTTAGCATACCTTGCCATTAATAAAGCATTCTTCTCATAATACCAATAAGAAAATGCTTTTAAATTATCCAACATCTGTTTGGACTTTTGGCCTAATTCAGAAGTTTATATATTTGAATTTTTTCATGAGACTTCCAGTATCAATGGTGTTGTACAATTTTGTACTAAAATTAGGAAAATTTGACTTTCCAATTTGTTTAATTGGGCTAGAATGAAAAAAAAAAAAAAGCAATGGGAAGGAAATTTGTAATGTTATTTTTATTCACAACTCTTAGTCAATATATTTTACATTTGTTCATCTATAGTTATTAAATAGACAATGTACTATAATTGTTCTCATTCAGTTTGACTGAGAGAGCAATTATTTTGTTTGTTTATAAATTATCGTGCAAATTAGTTTTATGCTAATTTTTTACATACATTACATTGAAATTCTATGTTGATAATTATATATCACATTTGGGCTATGTCAGCCTGAAATGGGCCGACAACCTTCTCACAGACAAGGGAATTTTGAAATCATTCAAATGTATACATTGGCTAGTCATGATTCAGTCAAATTTAAATAAAATTTATACACATAATTACAGGTTATTGGTTCCGTTTTCAATTCACCAATACCATTCAGCGGGCCTTCTGTGCTTGTATCTCGCCTGGGTAAACCTTGCTGCTGGTACGACTACGGCTTCGTATTCTTCGGACGCTTGTAGAGGAGTTTTGCTGTAATAATTTTGTGAAGCGGAAGGAAGTAAAAGACTGCGGTATGACGGATGGGTGACGGCAGATTGATAACCTCGGGTCTTCACTCTTGTGTATTGTAGTGTTGGATTTAAAGTAGATGGCTGGAGGGCGTCATTCAATGTCACGTCATATTCTTCATCGATGTCATAGGTCAAAATTGGATGTTGAGTCGAAGCTTCACCAGACGGTCCTGGGGCTGTAAATTCAACATTTTTTGATGGTTTAAAATATTCCGGTTCTTCTTTAACTGGACGTGTGTTTACAAATGGATTTCTATAATTGGGTCCTTGGTCTTGATTTGGTTCTTGTGACGGCGATGGCCTATGACTTTGATAAAGTGGTTCATCCAAAGGTTTCTTAACATCTTTGTTGCCAGGTCTATTCCCTCGTCTATAACCTGCAGCTGTAATCGGCATTCCATCGAGAGCTGGACGCTTAAAATGTTCAGGTCCTGTTGGGATGGTAAAGCTCGCTTTGAAATTAGGTTTCTGTCGCACATCAGCCTGCAAGGATTGTCTAAAATTGTGTTCATCAGGGTTCCTTGAGTTACTTTGGTGATTTTTAAAATCGCTTTCTGTTTCTTCACTTTCTATTTTGAAGGGTCTCTTATATGGGTCATCATTCGGTCTTCTTGATCCTTCGGGTCCAGTTGTGATATAAGGTCTTCTAAATATATGACTCGGACCTTCAGAAGTGGTAATCGGAAAGGCATCGGGCTTAAAAGGCCTTCTAAAATTGTCTTCTGGCCTTCGAATGGATGCCGACCCGGTTAGAGGAATGTTTTGTTCTTGTTTTAGAGATGATTTAAAGTTATCCGGTTTTCTGTTAGATTCTTGGGCATTGGTTGCCAAAAGTGGTTCCGTCTTGGCAGGCCTTCTCAAAGAAGTTTCATTTCTTACATCAGGACCTGTAGCAGTAGGTTGAAAATATTCAAACTTAACGGGCCTTTTGTAACTGTGGTTTACATCTTCAGTATTTCTAGAGGGTTGTGTAATACTTGGTGTTGGGGTGGATTCTGGTCTCAGAGACTTTCTGAATGATCCTGTGTCTGCTTGTTGATCTTCAGAACTTGAAAATTCTTGGCTCAAGGATTTGCTTTCTTCTAGTGGTAACGATATGTCTGCTTTTTGTGGCCTTCTGTAAGAAACTTCATCTGAAGGTGAGGTCTGTGATGGAAACGGTCTTCTAGGAAGTTCAGATATTGGCCTTCTATATTTTAAATCCTCCTCCTGTTTCCGAAAACCTGATGGACTTCCAACATGCGAGTTGAACATTTCAGGTTTCGCCGTCGTTCTTTTAAAATCAGATTTGACCCTAGGTCGAAAAGTAACTGCAGATGATTTTTGCTTTGTCACTGATTCTGAAGTAGGGGATAACGTTATTTTTGAATTTCTATATGAAGTCGTGGAAAACCGATGAGGAGCTAATGTGGTTGCTCTATTATCGTTTTTACTTCTTGGTTTGAATTTTGGTTGCTCAACATAATCATATTCTTCATATTCTTCATCTTCTTCTTCCTCATATGGTTCCAGAGTTGTTGTTGAAGGTGGTGGAGGTTTTGGTGTGGTAGTAGTTGTAGTCGTGGTTGTAGATGTAGTTGTCAGTTTTTTAGGTCTTGATCTCGGCTTCTCAATTTTACCTCTGCTAGGCCTTCTCCTGTCATCTTCATCATCGTACCTGGAATATTCTTCTTCTTCATCTTCATCATAATATTCGTATTCTTTTGATGGGCGCCTGTCTCTATCAGGTCTTCTTCTTTCATCCTGATATCTTCTCCTCGAACTTCCTCGTCCACTTATATAACCAGGTCTTTCTGACGGAATTGGCTCTTCGCTATCACGATGGCCTGAAACAAATTAATGACATTCTTTTAATCACAGCACAATAGTTTAAAACCAATATGATAATAATAATTTATTTGCAACAAATAATATTTGAACAAAAATAACAAAATTTTTCTAAATTAAATTAATTTACAAAAAAAAATAAAAAAAAACCTTTTCTTCCTTTCCCCATTGATCCTGAAGGCCTATGTCTGTAATCATCTTCTTTTCTATTTCCTTTACGCACTCTTGGCCTTTCTTCTTCTTCATCTTCATATTCGTCTTCGTACCTACTAGGACGTTTCCTTTCTTGATGTTGCATTCGTCTTCTTCCACTCTTTCCTATGACATATGCAAATAATATTAAAAAGAAAGTTTTTTTAAAGCTTTTCTTTATTTGTTAAGCTCTAGCTGTTCTATTTTCTACATGATTTCCTACCTTCACCTGCATCAACTGTATTATTTATAAAGACTGTACAATCATTTAATACTTATTCTGTTAATGTTGATAATATTAAGGTGCAGTATTTTATCCACCACCTATCATATATACCCAATTGTACTAAAGTAAATTGATTTAAATTGAGGGACTTTCTCAAATATAAATTGTGCACGATTTCGTAGCTACATGCTTTCATTGCTTACTCATTCTCGTACCTGAGTCTTTTTTTTTGGGTGGGGGAGGAGGTGGAGGATCATCATACTCTTCATCATAGTATTCTTCATCCTCTTCTGATTTTGGATCAGAGGTGGGTGTCGGAACAATTGTTCCGGGCCTTGTGGTATAATCGTATTTTGCTTTTTCATTTAATGGCACTGGTCTTTTTATTTTTGGGAGAACTTTTGGTGCATAAACTGACAACGGAGCTCTTGTTAACGGTACCTCACCAGATGGCGGGCTTGCAGTTGTACTTGTAGTAGTAGTTGTTGTTGTTGTAGTATGATCATCTCTTCTTGAGCCTGTAATTTTGTTTGGACTGAGTTGCCTTTACTAGAATGACAATTTTAACTTAAAATTTGAATGCTTGCCAATGCCACAAACATTTCATGTTTTTTCCATTCCAAATGAAACAGTCTTGCCTTTTTTTATTTCTCACCAACAACTGTAAAATTCTACAGTATTTATTTGACTTTTGATTAAAAGCAGAAGAAAAATAGTTGGAATTTTTATTTTTTTCTCATGATATTACCAAAACAAGTGCTAGGTTGCTAGAGATATTTCAGAAAATTACAGCATAAAATACCTACTTGTGAAAGTAGTATTTATCATCAAAACCAGCTTTTGATAATTTTATTAGTCAGTTAGTTGCACAATGATTTATATTTTACCACCTATTAAAACAATGTTTCATAATCAGCGGTTTTAGTTATATCATCAGTTTTGTTTGGCAAATTCATTTAATGCTTGTTGTTCACTTAGTACTAATTTTTTAAAAAGTTTTTCAAAATTTTCAAAATTCAAGTTTATGCCTACATGCTGGCAATAAATAATTGTACTGTGCTCATTTAAATTAGTACATTTAGTAAAAAATGTTAGAATATTTTAAACATTCTGAACTTTAAAAGACATACAGAGTTGTAGTGCTAACTTTCATGGAATTACCATTTACGGGAATATTCTAATTTAACAGTGATGTGAGTTTCAAGTTAAAATTAAAACATTAAATATTTTTAATAGATGATTTAATCTATTAAAAATGAGATGCCCAAGTTGCATAATGGAATTTCGCGCTGATTTTTTATTTTTTAAGTATGTATAGAATATTTTTTCTTTTCAAATTGTGTTCTATTTAGGATTAATAATTATTGTTTTGTTTGTTTAGCAATTGGACATAATTTAATGACATTCATTAAAAAAAATCATTTATACCAGATGGTCTTGGTTGTCTTCTGTTGGTCTTTCTTGGAGGAGGGTCAGCCTCCTCATCATAGTATTCATCATCATAGACTTCATCATCATCATAATAGTATTCATAAATGGGCCTTCTCCTTCTATAAGGCCTTCGCCTTCTTCCTACACTTTTCCTAGGTGGTGCTGGTGTTGTGGTTGTTGTAGTAGTAGGTGTAGTAGATGGTGCCTTAGTCGTTGCTGGGGTAGTTTCAGACTGTTTGTACAGTGCTTCATTTCTTAAAAATGACATTTTATATTATAATTTTTTAAATTTGTTTTCTTTAAAATGTTCAAAAATAATCAAACCTTATGTAGTATTTTGGAGAATTGGCACAATCTACTTCTGATACAAAATGACAGATAAATGTTTTTTGGTCGAATGCAGTGTAGTTTGCACAAAGGAAATCATATCTTGTACCAAACAAGCAATGGTGGTACACCTATAATTTATGCAAGTTTTTGTATATTAAAAAACAAAACCAAAACATTTTCTATTTTGAATCTACAGTTTACAACTAAACTATAACTTGGTTCGTAAATAGTTATAAAAGTGTAAACTATACCTGGCAATGGTGAGGGACACTTGCATAGAAACCATCATGTAGTCCATCGCATTCAAACTCAATATCTTCTGGCATACTATTATAGAAAGGATAATCGGTTAGATTATGGCCTTTCAACTCCCTCGGTAAGTTTGGATCATGGATATAATCTTTCTGAGGTATTCCAGTTAATAATGATTTTGTCTTGACTACAGTGGAATTGGTACCATCATCACCCACTACAACTGTCACCTGAAAACAATTCAGAATTAGTATTTTTGATGTCAATATGAATGAAATGATGCCAATATGAAAATACTTTCGGGTCGGACAATCACTCTATTCTTTTGTTAAAATTTGTCTCTCAATTTAAATTTAGTTCTTCAGCATGTAAACTTGTATCATCGTATTTAAATAACCAAACCTAGAAGTTGTAGTACAGATATGTCATCTCCTCTTCCCTTATCAATAGGTGTCCCTCAGGGCTCTGTCCTGGGCTCCTTGTTGTTTTCATTGTTAATTAATGACATCTCAATTTCTCTTAATTGCTACCATTTTTTGGCCAATGATTGTTTTAATTTTATATGCATTGCCCTCCTGTTAAATTACTTCAATATATCTCAAAAATAACTAAGAGCTTATATCAATTTCAAATTGGGCCAAATCCAATTTGATTAATATTACACCCTTTAAAATCACAAGCTATTGTTATTTATAAAAATTGTCTGAAAACTTGTTGTTTAAGAATAACACAAATCTTAAGTTCACTATTTTTCGTGGTCCGCTTGACCAATTAATAACATTCAATTATCTCAACTTAAAACCTTAATTAACAAATCTTAAGTTAAGAGTTTTGGCTGGCATCTTTCTTGCACTTTCAATTGGAAAACTCAACTTGGGAAAATGTGTCACAATGTTTATGGTATGCTTTATTCTTTAAATAGTCTTTCCTATGTTACACCTTATTCCTTGCATCTAACATTAATTAACTTGGTTGTAGCACGCTTCTTTCAATATTGGGACATTTTTTCAAATTCATTTGATTTTAAATCCTTTTACAGGCTTCAAATAGCTATTAATGAATGCACATATTATGTATTATAGATCACGAGGTCACATATCCGATGATTATTTTCAATTCACTAATTTTCGTGGTCCGCTTGACCAATTAATATCTTTCAATTAATTAAGGATTTTTAGTTGAGATAAAAAGTCAGTGTCACGAGCGGGATTCGAACCCACGACCTTCGGCTAGATATGCCACTGCTCTACCACTTGAGCTGACTTCGATCCACTCGGACACTAACTTCCCATCTCAACCCCACCTTTTGAATTTTCCCTCCTTTTTGCCATTTTTCAATTATACTTAGTTAATTTAAAAAAATTATTTTCAATTGTGAACTTCATCAGTACTACAAATGTAGATGCATTAAGCACATAACATAAAATGTGTTCTCTTCCTCCTGGCAATATCAGCACAGTGTTTCTTCTGTTTGTATTTGTATCTGGTGCATGTGCTTTATTAAGTGGCAGTGCCCTGTCAGGAGTCCAACCAGAATCCTTGCCCTGCAGTCGCCTTCCAGTAATTCTGTTGTAATTTTGCAGATGACCCTTCATGATCTTCACGTGACTCATGCCTGTGGTATTGTTCCACCAGGTTTTGGATTTATTAAGGATCCATTTTGAGAGTGTCCTCTTTTGTTGATGTTAGGCCACAGTAGGGTTCAGGACCTAGATAGATAGATAGATAGATAGAGATAGATAGTTCAGGATCTAGAGATTCCATGTTGGCTCCCTCTTGGCCAACATGTCAACTTTTTCGTTGCCTCTATGCCCCAAATGCCCAGGGACCCAGCCAGAGTCAGGTCAATAGTGTCGCTGACTTTCGCCAGAGCTTCCATGCAGCAACACTCTTTGCTTCACATCGCTTGAGGCTAGGGGCTTTAGTACTGCCTGACTGTCAGAGAAAATAGCTATCTTCTGAGAATGTATTCCTAGCCTTTTTATTTCCCTGGCACATTGTTCAATGACTATGATTTCAGACTGGAAAACTGTAGCATATTTATCGAGGTTTACCGTCAGTTCAGTATTTGGATTCATTCCGAAGACTTCACCCCGTGCCCTTGTTGGTTTTGGAGCCGTCACTTTCATGCACAAAAGATTGATGACATTACATTCGTCTCCTTTTTGCATTCATTCCTTTTTTTGTTTCACTTTCTCTTTTAAATAACAAAAATCTAATTTTAATAGCATCTACATTGTAATATAATATTATTGCATAATTAGCTTTAGCCATGTAACTGTACTGTAAAATATCACAAGGAGGGATGCATATACTGCTGGTACTGTATATAATAAATAAAATAAAATAAAATAAAAGTATGGAAAAAATATTACAGCAGGTAGGATGTTCCAACAATATTGGTTTTAACTTTTACTTTCTAATGTGCAGGAAACAAATGTTTTTTTGTTGTGTTAAATTCATTCTTTCCTATTTATATACCATATTTAATGATACTCAATATTCTGCTATCAGTCCTCTCACACTACCTATTCACGCCAATAAATACATTCACTCTCAACACAAACTAGAGGACTGCATAGAATAAAATAACATTTTCATCCAAGAATCGGTATAAGAGACCCAGGTACTCGCTGCCCAGCTCAAGCACAATTTCATATTGGAACATCTGGTGAAAATAGAATGTAAATTTTTACAAAAGTTTGTCAGGATTCTGTTAAACACATGGGTTGCTGGGTTTTAATTCTTGTTGTATGATGATATAGTTTGTTTAATTAGTTTATTGTATAGGTTGTATGCTTTGTGAAAGCCTTATTAAATTATTTTGTCATTCCTCTAATTTTATTTCAGATTTTTAGCACGGACATTGTTTTATTCAAACACCTCACCCTGCATACATAACAACAATAATAAAGCATTTACGGGGATGATTTTTACCCTTTTCAAAACTATAATAGGTAATTGAAAATTTGTATTATTTTACAGTTGCATTCTTTACCTCCTCAGTTGTAGGATTTAGCTTTTCTTCGGCGGCTTTGGATTTGGCAGCAAGTACGAGCTCGACGCCGCGGAGGGACAGCACCCCGCTCGTCACACTGCACAGGAGAACTGAAACAAATAAAAAAAAAGTTCAAACAAAGTCTGACAGAGCACTTTTCCACCCACAGGGGTGAAGAAACGTTTACATCAGAGATTATCCGTGAATGCCATAACTTAACGAATTGCACAAACCTTCGCTTCTAACGGAGTTGCATCTCCGGCTAAGTTACATCAATAAAAAGATACGGCTTTTGTAACCGTGCATGATCCAGAGGGTCCATCAATTTTTAATGGCTTATTAGCCTGTCCCGACCAATAAGTGGCACCTCCTATAACCGTTTGTGCCATGTTGCATAACGCATAAATAAAAACTTCGATTTCAAACTGTCTTAAAAAGACACTGGTTAAAAAAAGTATAAAAGTGAAGGAAGAACAACCCAAAGAGAAGTGATTTTCTTATAAACTCTGAAAGCAGAATGTTTTTCGGCGGTACGACCTAATGGCGGCGCATTTAAGTAAGAGTCGGGGAGAAAACTGGTTGCTGCAGCAATGCTACTGTAGCTGCAGATCATGCTCTTATGCAACTCCTTTCTGGAAATTGGTCAGGCAATGAGGTCGTACGTGTCCTATAACGCGTTTTGATTTCGTTGTAATGAGGAGTGGAAAGAAACACGCCCTCTGAAGGTCGTATGAAGTCGAGTCCTTTCACTATTCTGTCACCTTATGCACCTGTGCTCAAGAACCTTCGGTCGGATATTTTAGTTAACGAGGTTCAATTTTAGGACTGGCCAATTATTTGTTTCTATGAAAATCGAGAGTTGTTTTACAAAGGAAGGCCTTCTACTTCTTAAACAACTGCTACAATTACTGTTGATTTGCCGGTGTATAATTTCCACGAGAACGAACCAACACCCTTGTTAATCGAAAGTTTAAACCTTTTAAATAATAAAAAACTCTTGGGAATTAAATTGCTAAAAGGTTCATAGAATCGACAACATATCAGCTGGTAGATGACGAGGAGATGACATATTGTATGCAAATATAACAAAATGGCTTACCAGACGAAGCATAATATACAATTTTAAAAATATTCTGGGGCGATCAAAAGCATTACAAAGCACTACAAGCAAATGAATTTATTTCACAAAAACCAAAATAGCGATAATAATAATAATAATTATTATTATGCATTTTATTAAAAAAAAACAAAAAATTCAGAAGAGAGCATGAAAGACATAAATATGGCAGAAGGAACATGTATGAAATGGCATTAAAAAGCAACAAAATCAATACTGACAGACTTTCCAGAAACACAAGTAGAAGTTCAAGTTTTGTATCATTTGATCCTACCCAAGGGATAGGGATAGGGAGTTGGATAAAGAGAAAAGAGGTGATCACAAGGCTTTCTTCACCTCGAACTATTTTTCATTTTTCTATTGCTTATTTCTATTGCTTCCTCTTATTTTATAAATCACTGGCTAGTTTCAGGTCGTGAGTCAACCTCCATAGCCTTGCTAGCGGCTCCTTAGTGTATGCTTGCAGTTTTTCCTCTCCTAGTTGCAGGAATGTACTTCTAAAAAGACCCTCACAATCTCTTCTTCTTCCTGGCAGTATCTGCACAGTGTTTTTCTGCCAGTATTCCTATCCGTTGCATAAGCATTCCAGGCGGCAGTGCCCCCTCTAGTAATTCCTTTTTAAGTCTTGGTGGATAGGCCTTCTGTGAATCTTTTCGCGTGCCTCATGCTTGGGGTATTTGTTAACCAGGTTTTGAACTCATTAAGGATCCCTTTTTGGTTGTATCCTTTTTAGCGGCAAGGTGCTAGGCCACAATTGGATTCGAGGCCTAGAGAATTCATATGTCTCCTTTTTCGGCCAACCTATCCACTCTCTCATTGCTTCTATGTTCCGAATACCCAGGGGCACATGCCAAGTTAGGGTCACTTGCGTCAGATCCCACCCAAAAGGAAACAATAATAATATTAAAACTAATAATTACTATTAAAAAAAATTGAAATAATGTAGTAAATTCTTAATATCAAACTTTTTGAGGGGCCAAAGAAAAGTACTAAAGGTACTAGCAAAGCGTAAATTGGTCAAAGATCCTGAAACTTCAAACAGATCTACAGGTATTAAAACCTGAAATAGTGCAAGAAAACCCATAAAACTTATTTGAGCATAAAAACTCACCAAAATTAGCCCTTGTGAGTACTGCGATTTGCCAAAAAGCACAGGAAGAGAATGAAAGCTGTCTTATTTTGACTTCAAAGAAAACAAAACTTCGTTAAAAATTTCTTATAAATTATAGGTTTTTTAATAGACGGAGTTGTCTGATTCTAAAAAAATGAGTACACCCAACAAGGATAAATAACAATACGATAAATGACTTGTTTTATTTATTAATGTCGTATATTATATCACGTTGGTAAAATTTCAAAATAAATAAAATCTCATTGTTTTCTTGTTTTTACCTTATTTTTTCGGCCAAAGCGAGATTAAATTGATGGTATATGTGAGACAGTGCGCTACTGAAGCTGAAACGCGTTTGTGTTGAACGTAAACAAGCGAGAATAGACGGACCCAAGTGGCCAGTGTCGATTAGTTCACATTAATAAGAAAAGTCCATTAGATTCCGAGTTCCGAATGACCAAATAACGTCTTTCAATTAATTAATCTTTATGTAAGGTATTGTTGAAAAATTGGCAAAAAGGAGGGAAAATCCGAAAGGTGGGTTCAGATGGGAAGTTGGTGTCCGAGTGGATCGAAGTCACGATAGCTCAAGTGGTAGAGCAGCTGCGAATTTAGCCGAAGATCGTGGTTTCGAATCCCTCTCGTAACACTGACTTTTTTATCTCAACCAATACCTTACATAAAGAATAATTAATTGAAATAATGAGATAAGGATGAAAATCTGTGGATCACATCACTCCTACCCCACACATCTAAAAAATTGACACGATCAAATTGATAACTGATACTGCCCAACTGTGCCCAATTCTTAGTTTTCATATTATTTGACAAAGTGAAAATATGATTTTGCGATACGATCTGTTTAATCGGCTTTCAGCCTGTAAGAAAGTAGTAAAAGCTCGCGGTGTGAGTTGATTGCGAGACAGTCTGACCTAACGTGTTCAGGCCAACTGTGTCATATGCTCTAGTTACCGAGACATGTTTGCTCCTCGCTGACCCTCCTTTTCTTGTTGCTCAACTGGCGCAACAATGGACATATTTACAAAAGCTTGTTAGCCACCGCGTGTCCGTACGTCCTATGTTCCTTTCACGGCGAATTGTCTAATTTTGAGGCCTCCTCCGCAGGCTGTTAGGTCCAACAATGAGGATTTCCCCTCTTTGGGCTTTTCTCGTTGAGTAAGCCCCCTTTTACTCGGTTTCACCCCGTGTTATCTCATAAATGTGACACAATTTGGAGTTAAAGACTCTTATTAAACGTAGTATATGAAATAAAGACCTATAATGTTGAAACAATGACGTTATTATGATCCCATTAACAAAAAGAAAAAATAATTCAATTTTAAAAAGTCTATTTTAAATGTCATTTTGATCAATCTAATGGATTTCTTTAAATCAAAATTAAACTCCTCTAGCCTTCTTCCAGATCATCAGGCTTAACCCTATCATTCCACACAGTCCAGTGAATATTTCGCGTTGTAGAACGTATATCCTCCTCCCTTGAGCGCAAAGAATATCGGTACGAGAGGCTTTGTTGATGTGGCACAAGGGTTTCCTGTACAGATTGAAGCGAATCCTCCCAAATACACTCTACTTAATCCTGTGCTTTTATTTACTATGAATACGGCTTGCTCTCTGGCCAAAGGAGTACCAGTGTGCTCGGACCTCCATACCTTTTCTCCTGCAGATGTTCCTACTAAACCTACCCCTTCTTGCCACTGACCCAGCTGTACTATCCTCTAACCACGATCCTGCGGTTGCTTCGGATGATCTGCAGAGACATGTATATCAGATTGGTGTAGACAATTGCAAAGTGAAGATAAATGAAGGCAAGTGCATCCATGCTACATTTACACTCAGAATCAAATCTCCTCAACAATTACTACAACAATGTTCCTATTCTCAAATCCGACTGTGTTCGTAACCTTTGGTTCAACCTAGTCTTTCGCTTAACATCAGCATACACGACTGAAACGACAAGAACATACATAAGCTAGGTATACTCTACAAACTTATACGACGACATTCCAAGCTATCGACGAAAAACAATCTACAAAAAGCTACTACAACTGATTTGGATGTACGGTATTGAACTGTTGAGGAACTGCTACATCTTCAATCCTACCCCCCACAACGACCTTAAAGTCCCATTTATCCAAAAATTAATTCACAAAAAATTTACCAAGTTCCACAATAATCTCTCCCATCACCCCAATAGTCTCGCCCAAGCCCTGTCCAACATAACCCCTCCCTACAATATCATAAGGCGTCTTAAGAGGAAATGGCCTCGCGACCTCTTGGTAGTGAAGTTTATTTAAGGAAGTGGGAGAATAATATTGATTTTTTTTTCAATTTTTATTTTTTAAATGGCCTTATAAACTTTGCATATTAGCTAAGGAAGTGATGATATATGTCAGATAGAAATACAATCACTCATAACAGATAGAATATATTATCATGCGATGAGTATTTCTTTGAGGGAGGGGAGGGTGCGTGAAAAAAGGACCAAGGTGGGAATCGAACCCACGACCGATAATGATTATTTCCTCCCCTCAATGTACGTAAATAGTTGGAAGTACATCTATGTAAATTAGATGTCTCAGAAATTGTTGATTGTAATAAAACATCGAAAAAATGAATTTCTGGGAAGGTGTAGGTTTTATTATTAATTTATTCATGTTTTGACGATGTTTCGTTTGAGGATCAGGGTTGGGGTCCAAAATGAATACTGTTGTATCTTGTCAAGCTTTCGGCATTTTATTAAGCCTTCTTCAGGGCTCTACAATTGAATAAATATATATTACATTGAAATCTCTTTAAAAAAAAAAAAAAAATTTCATTCTTTCTATTTGGACTTACAAATATTCAGTCAGAAATGTAAATAA